AACAACAACCAGAACAACAACCAAAACAACAACCAGAACAACAACCAGAACAACAACCAGAACAACAACCAGAACAACAACCACAACACCACCACCACCACCACCAACAACAACAACGGCAACAACAGCAACAACAGCAACAACAGCAACAACAACAACAGCAACAACAGCAACAACAGCAACAACAGCAACAACAGCAACAACAACAACAACAGATCCATGAGAGACCTACCGAGCGACAGTAGACGCAAAACCAAAGCTCCCAGAAGACCCTTTTTCGAATGGAACTAAAAGACCGACCGAGCGACAGTGGGGCCAAAAGTGCACTCAAAAGAGTGATAGACGCATGCGGTACATTCACAAGAACGGAAAGGTAAAACGAAAGCGCAACTGATGCAGGAGAGATAGACCGAGCGACAATGGGGCCGAAAGTGCACTCAAAAGAGTGATAAACGCATGCGGTACATGCAGAAAAACGGAAACATAAAACGAAAGCGCAACTAATCCATAAGAGACCTACGGGGGAAACTCAGAAAACACATGCTCAAACACAACTGAATACCGAGCGACACTGGACCAGGGGGGAATCGAACCACCGACCGTACTGCATTTGCTTAGTGGGACACTAACTGGGGAAAAAATAATTTTTCCCAACAAAGTATCACTTTTTTAGGAAAATTATTTTTAATTTTCCCAAAATAGTAGTAAAATTTCGACCTCCGCGCAGGGGGCTTAGGAAACACAAACTTAGTTTGTATTCGCGCAGACTAAGTTTATATTCGCCAATTTTCCCAAAAAAGTAGCAGATTTTTAGGAAAATTAGCCTCGGGAAACTGCGCGCACGCGCTCTATGTAAGGCTAAATCGTAATATTAGTAGTAATATATATATATATATATTTATTATTAATATTATTTATTTATTTTTATTTATTATATAATTATTAATATATATATATATATATTTAATTTTTTAATTATTATAAATTATTTTAATTAATTAAACATAATATTATATATCTAATTATATATATAATAATATTATATTTAAATATAATATTATTTAATATTATTTATATATATATAATTTAATTAATTATTATTATATATTTTAATTAATTTATATTTAATTTAATTATTTGAATTTATATTTATTATTTATATTTTTCAAACTTAAATTATATCTAATTTTCATTTTTTGTTCCGGCCCTCAACAAGCACGGAGCGGTTTCTAGATCTGGCTCTTGGCAAAATCATCGACGACTCAATTGATACGATCAAGATATGGCAAGTTTCTTCTGGTTGCCAAGTGCCGCTGACACTTGGATGAAGACTGCAAATTGACACCGAAACAAATACACCAATCCGCAGTGGCATCTCATTAAAACTTTCTCATTGCGAAGCGGCAACCAACAAACCAAAAATTGCAGGCACAGCACCCAAGTCGAATTCTCCACACGACACACGCGGCTTTTGTTCAGTGCCACCAGCGCAACTTACCCAAAAGAATTGAGCAGCCACTGGTTAACATATTTTGGCTGGATGTTTGGACCAAGACATGATTTGAGAGACCCCAATGCAATCAAACGCAGTCAAAGTAATCATAGAGATGGAAATTCTTGTTCACAAGCCTTTGCAAAAAACAGCAAAAAGGGTGTTTAAATTTTAGGTATTCGTCAAATTTGGGTACCCCAAGAATTGGATGGTTAGTAAAAATAGACAAACATCAGTGGTCCAGGTCTTCAATGTTGATAGCCATGGCTATGATGCCATCCCAAAGCACGAAGTGGCCCCAAATTTCGAGATGAACACTGCATAATGATGAATGATGAGTGATGATACAAAAATATACAAGGATAAACTGAAATGCTTTGAGACCACACACAAATGGCATATTGCTAATATTGGCTATGATTTTCCCTAAGCTTGTCTCTACAGTACCCACAAGTGCACATGTTGAAAGTCAGACCTGTGCAAGAGGAGAAATGTGTCCGGCACCGCAAATGTGGGTCAGATTCAGTATTAGTGTCAACCTTCTGAAACATTGAAACCATCATCATTTCGATACTTTTCGGATGCAACACTGTGACATCCTGTGACCCATACCACTTTGTTCGCGCGCTGGTGCCACGTGTTGCCATCAACTATCAAAGCTCGATCTTGGGGACCTACATGGGCTGTTGGGCAACGAATCCAGCTATGTTGGGCCCCACAACCGTGATCACCCAAGTATCCAAGGCAATGAAAGGTAAGGGAGGTGGCAAAAACTTGGGTTTCCAAGAGACAATACACACTGGTAGTTTAACAATGGAAAACCACAATTTATTCAACAAAACCATACAAACACGGGATTTTAATGGGTTTTCCTTGCATCTCCGGAATGTACCCTCTGCTAAACAGCCTGGCAATGACCAGAATTCCCCACTTCTAGATGGTTAACCTACTAGAACTGGCAGTTTTCTTTTGCTAAATGCATCTCAATGTTGGCAAACTCCCCATGGCGGCAAACGTAAATGATCGAATCATATCGAATCCCGATCGTTGATGGTAAAATCATATCATTGTTCAACATATTATCATTGGTAAAATCATATCATATCATTGTTTCAACATTTTTCATCCTTTGTCTAACATGTTTCAACCCTTCGGGATGCTCCCAAGACCTCCCGTTGGCCCGTTGCGTTCCAACCACCCCCACCTGCAGTTTTTGCTCCAAGGGTCCGCCACTCAAAACGCCATCCACAAAGGCATCCAGCTCGGCAAAACGCATGAGACCGCTATGCACCTGCTTCATGGCCCCATCCAGATACGATTTGGGTGGGTAAAATGGATCGATTGTGGTAGATTGTGGTAAAATGAGCCATTTTCCAATTTTCCCCAGGACTTCTTCAAGGTTTCAAGTTCAATGTTTCGGGTGAAACACTTTGAGCAAATCAAAACACTATTTACAATGTGGATCAAATCTATCTTCACTGTTGTTACTCAAATTGCACCCACCAATTATCAAGATTTCAATGGACCTTTTTCCGTGTCCAAAGTCAAATACTGACAGCTGCTGACAGCTGACATCACATCCGAAATTTCTCCTATATGACAGACATGTTGTCCTCATCCGACAAACAAAATTCCTCAGTTTGAATGGTGACCTCAGTGTCATCCGTCGTAAATTCGTGAGCCTTAAACCTTGACCTCTTGGACCGAAGCGCCACCTTGGGAAATCCGACACATGCACCATGTGAACAGAGTATACCCAAGAAAATTCACCGGATCTCACCGGTGCAAACGTGCGGCAAGTCCGGTAAGTATATGACGGGTCATATGCATACATGTGCATATATGATTGCATATGTATGAGTATGTTATATTATATATACGTATCTATCATGCTTTTCTGACTGATGAGAATCATGACTCTGTTTCTTCAAGTGTTGTTGATACACGGTTATCGTAATCTCTTCAACCTGGCTCGTCTCTCTGGTTTTGTCTCAATATAGTACCCCAAAGTCCCCATGTTTAATGTTTATTGCAAATGCCCAACTGACAACTGGGTGGTAATTCGATGTAATTGAATATGCCTTTCCCATCCTTTTCACTATCATAATCATTCATAATCATCCTTTTCCCATCTTTTCCCAATGGAATTAAGTGGTAAATCCCCAACTTATGGCCTTGGAGGCCTTGGACATCCTTGGGCCATGCCAAGACACAAAGAAGTCCATGGCATCGCTTTCATGCAGGCCGAAAGCCTTGGGGCTTTCTCCACGGCGAATTTTTGGGGGCCATTTTATGGGGTAGCAATGCACACACAAAGAGATGGTCATTTTGGGTATAAAACCATGAGAAACCAAGATCAACAGGGGGTCAGTAGTTTTGAACCATATCCAAACTTCAAGTTCAACATTTCCTGTATGTCGTCAAACAGAAACATAAATATATGTACATCCTAGCGAAATTGTATGAACATTCGTGACCCCGACTCCAACCACCATCGCAACATGAAGTTTGAAATGGATGCTTTGGACGGCTGGACCGCCGCTGACCGGTGGTGTATGGTGTCTGCAGCGGTTTACCTGGAAAGCCATAGATAGGCTAGATGGGTTGTGAAATGTTGTGAATATCTCCCATGTGTAATATATCGTTTAATTACCTCTTTCAGAGATTATTAATCCTGATTGACCAATGGCTTTGACCGTACTTTCTAGCATAGCAGGTTCACATCCATGAGATGTTCATCTCGGAAAACAAGAATATGATAGAACTACGTAGCTACAGTAGAGTATATATCTGGCTAATGCATGACAATCATTGACAATCACTGCCAGGCCTAAGACTCTTAAGACCATAGATCTGGGAAAATTCAATAAGTCACTAACCTGAATTCAGGCCCGTTGGTGATTTTTTCCCCTACGAATCATCATCTACAGTGAGGTCAGATGGGCTCGCTATATCTCTCCGGTCCGAGCTGCGTCTAAGATGGATGGATTGAGCTCCACGTTGGCCCACATCATCTGTGAGATCAGCATGCGAATCGTGCCATGCTTTTTTCGTCGCATGTCCATGGGAGAAAAAGATCGTTGACATGCACTTTTGACCCCAGAAACACATTGATTCCTGTATGGGATACCCTCTGGTAAACTAACATAACTATGGAAAATCACCATTTTTCATGGGAAAATCCACTATAAATGGCCATTTTCAATAGCTATGTTAAATTACCAGAGGGTACATCTGGGTTGAACATGGTCGGACATGGTTAAGCCCATGATGTGCTTAAGCCTCGCAACCCCCTTGATCTGCAGCATGCCGGCAGATTTGCGGCCCAGTATCGGAATCTACTCCTACATCACAGTCAGCATTCAATGAATGTTTATATAAACACATCAGTTAGCACATCTTCTGTTTCTTGGAGGTCATTAATTTCAGCGCAACTGTGCCACATCACTAGATGTGGCTGATAGAAAAAAATACCTTAGCCATGATAAGTCTGCCCCCGGACCCCCCTTTTGGGGGCTGCCTGGAATGTAGCACCCGAAAAATACCAGATGCACATCGATCGAATTCACAAACACATTCATATCTCTATGTGTATGAACAAATGTATAAGATGTATAAGTCAATGGATCAATATACACATATTACAGGTACCCTCTGGTACTTTAACGTAGCTATTGAAAATGGCCCAGTCGAAATAGTGGATTTTCCCATGAAAAATGGGTGGATCTTTCCATAGCTATGTAAACGTTTACCAGAGGGTAATCTCTAAGAATAACCTATTACATCATATTACATGCCCATTTATAGATGGTTTACCTATTAAAAATGGGTGGATTTTCCATGGCGAACTGTTAGTCATAACCAGATGGTGAAGCAGATGCCTAGCTGCTGCACTCCCCTTCTCTGCCTTGATGGGATCTGTGCGGTACTTCTGCGCTAGCTGCCTGAAGCAACGCGGTCCGCGGCTGGGACAGTTGTGACCTATCGGTGAATCTGCCCATAATCTGCCCCTAGTGTATATATGATGTGACCAATGTGACCATCATATTATACATATGTATGTGCTATATGTATATAATTATATAAATATATATATATGTAATTATATATATATGTATGTATATATGTATGTATATATGTATGTATCCAATTTTTGACCATCCCCACTCTGACACAGAGATTCTCCATGGAAAAAACATGTCCACCGTGTTCACCTCGTTGCTTCTTCCACCGCAGCGTCTGCACCGGCCTGAAAAGTGGAGCTGATACCCTCTGGTAAACTAACATAACTATGGAAAATCACCATTTTTCATGGGTAAATCCACTATAAATGGTCATTTTCAATAGCTATGTTAAATTACCAGAGGGTATCCCAAATCACACCCTTCAGGTGGGGTCCAGAATCAAGTTTACATGGAAGTACACAACGTATGGCACAATGTATAAATGATTATAAATACATATCCAAGCTGCAGGGCCAATTCCAATGATTCGCATATCCTAGGAAAAAAAATCAGTGGGATGAATCCCCCCATGAAGCATCAATTATGCTGAAGTTGTGAAGTCGCTATTGCCGGCCCATGAGGGGACAGGGAAGCATTCCATGGGCAAAGATTGGAAGACCAATGGTTGGTCATGACAAGAGGATGCATGTGGTATGCCACTGGCAGTTTCAACTCGTCGCTTGAGATGAATCATCCCAATCTCGCGGAAGAAGATTATGAGTAAATGCATATTCAAAGCCATCAGCCACTCTATGATCACCCAATCCCACAATCACAGTTATCACATCCAGCGCACCTTAAGCCAAAGAAAGCAGAATTGGCTGTCCGTGGGTCCACAATCACCAGCCTGACCGAAGGTTTCAAGTTGCTAATCAAACCCATCGATTCACCACCAACCATGGATTGGTGACGTTTCACAGATCCTCCAAATATCCATAGCTACTTCCATATCTGTGCATTTATATGTATATACTCATCATACATATTGTTTACCACACACATATATGCGTGTATATATAAACGTATGTACAATATCTACACATTTATGGACTATTTACTCATTTACTATTACTATTATCATTTACTATTATATATATATGAGCTCCCGTCAAAATACTTTACATCTGAGTAGTTGATATTGTTATGGTTATCGCTTTTGGGGGGCCGTATCGCTTTCCAGGTTTTTGTGGAAATCAGCATATTGGAGATTCAACATGAAGCCAGAATCCACTCCTAAACGGGCTCGGAAATGGATCGAGGAGTTGTTTTGTCGGTTTCAGGTGCTTCGGCAACACTTCATGTTCCTTTCATTTTGCATTCATTTGCATGCATCTTCCTTCACTTTCCTTTCACTTGCATGCATCTTCCTTTCATTTTGCATTCATTTCCTTTCATATTCCTTTCATGTTCATTCCAATGTGCATTCATGTCCTTTCATTTTCCTTTCATTTGCATGCATTTTCTTTTCATTCTGCATTCATGTCCTTTCATTTCATTTCTAAAGCTTTGGAAATTGGCTCTATGGCTTGGCCTGGGGACTGAGTGCAACACATGATTATCGCTAAGTTATCGCTGAGGTTATCGCTAAATAACCCCTCCAACATATGACATTGTTCTAAGGAAATTTGCCACAAAAACGATAGAGAGCGAGAGAGAGAGAGAGAGAGAGCCAGCGAGTTGGATGCCAAATGATATGGTAACTGCAGGAAACACGGCACCACAGGTTGAATTTCCCTCATCGGTTTTGCCCGGTCTGTGAATGTGCACACCAGTATTTGCTTGGTTTAGGCCAAGTTTAATGGACTGCCGTGTATGATCCCAGGTATTATCGCTTTTGGGGGGGGCCTGTCGCTTTACAGTGTTTCGTGCACATCTCTGACAAAAAACACCTGCAATACTAAAGTGGTCTTCAACCATTTTGACCGTGACTCATATGTATATATATATATTATATTTATAGGAATAATTTAACAATAAATAAATACATATCTGATAGATTCACATAGATTCACCACATTTCACCACGCTTTTTTCCAATGGCACCTCTAGCCGCTCCTTTGAGAGTTCCTTGAAGGTCGCTTGGGGTCCGGCCTCCCAGGGCCGCAAAAATGGATCGGATCCCTCAACTGGTCATTTTTTAATGGGAATCTGGTGGCTTTAAACATATTTCATCATATTTCAATTTGAAAAGGATGAAACATCAGCTTAGCTGAACCATAGATGGTTTATGTTGTGTTCTTATCAAAACGATCAGGAAAAGCCACCCGGTAGGATTTGTTTGGAGATAGGATCCGAACTCCAAGGGAAACCACTGGGAATGAAGCCTTTGGACCCATAAATCCGATGCACAAACCACCGGAGCCTCGCATCCAACTTCCAACTCATCCGACTATGGTGGAAGAAATCCAGCAGCAGTTGGTAACCATTAGGTAGCCATGAAACACTGTAAAGAATGGGATTGCCGTTGGGATAAACCATCTACCAACTGGTGCGGGATTTCTTCCATCCACAGTATGAACCCCAGTTTTTCAGACTTCCGCCATCCCATCAATATCGCACCTTCTTGCCCAAGGCAATGGCTTTCAGCAGCCACAGGTGTATGGACTCCTCAACTTGCTGCAGTGACCCCCCGAGTCTTCCTGAGGAGATTTGACAATGAAGAACTTACAGAACACCGATTGAAAGAAAGCCTCAAAATAAAGATCCATCCATAAATGGCCTTGTCTGAAAATGGCGTACCCCCAACATTTTGATGGTGGATCTTTGACAACTAGAATATGAAGCCCTTGTTGCAATCCACAGCAGGGTTGTGTCGATCATCTAAGAACTGGGACACCTCCGATTTTGGTGTTTCACAAATGCCGGAGACCCCAAACATGGTGGACATCGTCTCACAACAATGAGATATGTTGGATGAGTTTGGGGCCCTCCATTTCAAGAAACTTGCCCAGATTTCTGCCACTTATGTTGACATCCCTGTCAGGTTCCCGTGTGACACAACCTGGAATGAGGCAAGCAACGTTGAACATCAACCCCAAAAAGACTTCCCAATCAATGCTCTTTGATGGTTTTGCACAACTTTTTCACCTCAGTTAACGACTTCGAAACTAGAAGAGTCGGACACCTCGATATACGGAAAACACCATCCTGTTACCATCCTGGAAATTGATAAAATCATGTTGGGGCTTTATACATTCTGGGTAAATATGTTTAATCTGTTAAATTATAATATTTCACTAGCCTGAATTAAGGCCATGTGGGGATGATTTCCCTTATTCACCATGATTCCAGTGAGGTCGCAGTGAGGTCGTTATAATCATATATATATGGGGGATTATGCGGGTACCCCACAAATCATCCATATACCATAAATGATTTAAGATCATATATATATATATGTATATATATATATGGAGGTTTCCAAAGTCATGGGGGTACTCCCATAGTTATCATCCAGTCGTCATTCGACGATTTTTCAGGTTTCCGCCTTCTTTAAGGTGAGCGTGAATTTCTCAGCAACCTGGCACCCAGGCAACATCTAGCGGTCTATTGATATTGGATGATATTGGATGATATCGGTATTTCAAATTAATACTGTTTTATTGGTCTACGATAGCTAATATCTATGTATATATATATATCTATATGTATATATATATATCTATATGTATATATATATATATCTATATGTATATATATATATATCTATATAATATACATACATATGTGTATGAATAGATCTACAATGATCGACATTAGCATGACAATCTTCAATTTTGTCTCTCGGTGCCACTTTGTACTGTACTCTCTCTATGTGTAAATGTGGTCATATATCAATATAAGTAACTACAAGTATATGCTCACATATGTATATATATATATATATTTAGAGATATTTGAAGATACATATATATATATACATATTTTATATTTATAATATACATATATATATATATATTATACATATTATAACAGCACACTGTTGGCACACAGTGGCAACAAATTGCCCGTCCTCATGCCTTGCCCATATGATATGGCTATGGATTCATCCCATTCTTGGTCGACCTTCAGCCGAAGAGTAGGGATCTGAAAAGTAGGTACCCTCCGAATCAAAAATGGTCATTTTATGGTCGGAAAAGTGGTTGTCTACATCATTTTCATCATTTTCCCATGATGAAACGACATAGAATGAATGAACCATGGTTTTCTGATGTTTTCTGTGTATTGCATGGTGCACCATGTTCAACTCCACCCCTTAGCGGCAAAGGCGCCTTGCCGGTGTCATCCAGCGGATCAATCCGAATGACCTGTGGAATCTTCACGTCGTACCTGGGGAGTTTTGCGGTGCTGCTAGGGAAGGCTGCCAAGTACCTCAGGATAATCAAACCAAAAAAAGGGGTGTGTCCGAAACAAAATGATATTATACCCAGTTATTGCATGTTAGTGCCGATGGTTTCAGCGGGAAAATGATGATCCAAAAAGGCCATGCTCAGGACCATTTTCATGACCATCTTAGTCGGGAAAATTATGACCACAGGGGTACCCAATTGTCAGAGAAACCCACATGTTTCGGGGTGGTGGCACTGATGCTTCACAAAGGTATCAACAGAGTCTACCTAGTCGTCTATCTCATGGGTTGCTTGAGGGCTGGATGTGCAGTTTGTGGGTTCTCATGATCTCCACGAAAGCATTCAAAAATGATTATTTCTGACGTCCATGCTTCTAGGTCCAAAATAGACATCTTTCTTCAACTTAATCAGTTGTTTTTCCATAACATCCCATGTTTTTTTCAACATTCAACCTGATCTAACCAGGTGATATACATATACATATACATATATATATAATTACATATTATATATATATTATATATTATATGTTATATGTTATATATTATATATTATATATTATATATTATATATTATATACTATATACTATATACTATATTATATATAATATATATATAATATATTATATATTCTATATTGCTGAACTTCCCCATATATTTTTTTCTCGACAAACCCCATACGTCACTCGCGCTGCAGCGGCGGCTTGAAGACACCAGTCTTATCACAGCGAGGCACCTGCAAAAAGAGACGTGCTGATTTTTTTTTGGACCAGCTGACCTACGTAAAATGTGATGTATACTACTATTCTATATCAAACATATCAATTGTATTATATAGAATATAGACTAATTATAGACTATATTATAGAGATATTGATTATGGTAGATGGAACTATGGTCACACAAGTAATTATTCAAGTAAACTTTAATCATATGTGACTCAGTGAAATCCACACTGAATATCATATATGTGTACCTTGGCAAGGATATACATCACCGATTCATACATACAGCTCTACATCTGCACATGGTCATTATAACCATGCATCAGTGATGTATACAGGTGGCTATTGTTTTGAAGTCAAAATCATGTTGATCCTGCCCTTTCGATCAGTGAATATTCATCTCCCTTGATTCCCCCAGCTAACCTCACACAGTATCCTGGTTGGTGGTTGACCTACCCCTCTGAAAAATATGAGTTCGTCAGTTGGGATTATGAAATTTCCCAATATATGGAAAAATAAGAAATGTTCCAAACCACCCACCAGTATCTATCATATTCTTCATATGGCTAGAGACTAATCCATAAGACCCTGCCACCATGCGGCACCGTGGCCAAAGCTGTGCGGTTCTTGAACTCTCGGCTTAAGGCCTCTGGATGCTGAAATGGCCAAGCAGAAATCATCCGGGACGGTGGCTATGCCCATCAGCTGATGCTTTATGAAATTTATAGGTCAGGCAATCTTTCTGGGTTGTCTATGTCTGCCATCCTTGCCGTCCCAGCACTTTGACACCCCAAAAAAGGCCTGCACATCTTACATACAGCTCATTTCAGCTGGTGCGTTTCTCTTCCATTCTCGTTTGGGCTTGGATCAAATCCACCGCCCCAGCTACAAGTACGTTACAGTACGTTGCAGTATGTTGGTATTCACGTTTGGGTGCCCGGGTAAACCATGTCAATGTCGGTGGCTGTTTTTGGAAAAGCATCAGCCCCATTGCCGGGGCCTTCCACATCGGCGGAGACGCGCTCTTGTCCTGGGTAAAAATAACCGGGGCCATCGGTGGAGGGCAGCAGTTCGGGAGATACCAAGGGTATATGCGACTGGATATGCTTAGATATGGACAGTGTCATTGATCCAGGGACCCCAGGGAGTAGATTTGGGTGCTTGCATTCAAGATCACTCTATACATAGGGATGGGTCAAAACCCTGGTACCTAGTGAACCCCAAAATAGCTGGTAAATGGATGTTCATCCCACTAAAAATGTATCTATAGGTATTGACCCATACCCACATCTGTATGTGTGCATAGCGATGCTTTATGCAGAATTGTCCATCTATCTCAGGAATGTAGATCGAATACAGGCCGGATATCATATAATAAGACCACACAAAATGTCCACACCATAAGCAAAGCCATTTCATTATCCCCATGATCACATCAAACGAATCAAGTGCAATTTGTCAATTGTGCGATGTGTGTATATATATATATAGTGTGTATATATATGTATACACACTATAATACAAGTATACTGTGTAATATATGCATATATACAGTACAAATATACAGCACACATATATATATATATTACTGTATATATACACATAGTACACACACACAGAGTTACAGTAATATAAATAAATATATATATCTATATATGTCCAAAACTGATTTTTAATCTTCAAGTGACCAGTTTCCGCCCCAGTTGCCGCAGTGAAGCCACGGTGCCGTAAACAGAATGATGTGGGGTCCCTTGACGTTGTCCAGCCACTTCCTCAACTCATGCTTCTCCTGGCTTCGATCAATGCTTAGAACACTGGGTTCATTCATCAATATAGCAGTCGAAAAAGGCTAGAAAAATAACATCCAATTCTAAAATAGTGGCACATTAATGGCAAAAACTATAATTATGGGGAGTTACTATAGGTATTTCATGGTTCACACGGTACTTTCTGCCCGTGCCTGCAAGAGCTGAGTGTAGTCCGGCATCAGGCTATTGGCCCACCTGGAAATGGTCCACTTTGTGTCATTTCATTGTCCTGGTTGATCAATAAAGAGTACCATAATAGATGATTATCTACCAATACGTTGGATATTGATGGATATTGGATACTATGATACCCTACAATCATCCACCAGCGGGTTTTCTTGAACACTGATGAACAGCAATCCCCCAAAAAGATACGGAAGTAATTGATCAGTGTTCAGCAACAGTAGAATGGTACATTTCTGGCAATTTTTGGGTTTGCTATATAATATATATATATACACATACGCGTGGTATAATATCATATGCACGATGTGTTTTTGTGTGATGTGATATGTGTGCTTACTGTAATTGTATTCACGTATTTGGTTATGTATGTGTCGGATTTAGACATCATGTATACACTAAGCATCAACATACAATACATCCACATGATAAGTTCAATCATTTACTGTAGTGAAATCTACATCTACATCATGTACAGGTCAAGTATATACCCTCTGGTTAAACTAACAGTTTGCTATGGAAAATCATCATTTTTAGATGGGTAAATCCACTATTTCTATGGCCATTTTGAATAGCAAACCCACTGAGAGACCAGGCTTCCCCAGATTTTTGGCGTTGGCTGCGCCCTCATCAAAGACTTCCGGAGCAGAGTCCTGGATGTTCGTTGTGCGCTGGGTAGGAGCTGGTTCTCATTGCAAGCGCCAATGTAATTGGTATATTGGAATATACTAGAATATTATATATATATGTATATACACATATATCGGTTGGTATCTAGTAGATGGTATTATCATGAGTCTATTGCCATTATACTGAAACATGATACATGATACTATCATTGGCATCATATTGGAATATACCAGATAGAACTGGTCCTATATCCACAGCCCAGCGACGTCCTTGTCCTCCCCAAACCATCGAAAGGCTGGAAACCTCCAGGGCAATTAGCTACCCACAGGCCAAAACCAACCATAAATGGGAATATCATGCGGATATATGATGATTATATAATAATATATCATGTATCTAATGATATTAAATACACAAGATTACCTGTATATATATATACAATTATATATATATATAATTATATATATATGTTTTATTATAGGTTTGAAAGGAGTAATTGACTGGCATTTTTAACCTTCATCCAAACAATCGAAGGTATTCATTGCGCAGGTCCTGTGACCAGCGTCACTGGGGATGGGACATCCTGATCAAATCAGTCCAACCAAAGAACCTTCGATTTATACCCTCTGGTTATTTAACATAGCCATGGAAAATCACAATTTTTAATGGGTAAACCATCTAGAAATGGGCCATTTTCCATGGCTATGTTAAATAACCAGAGGGTATTTTGGTAAGAATACCCTCTGGTAATCAAACATGGCACTTGAAAAATGACCCATTTCTAGATGAATTTCCCATTAAAACCTCCATTTATAGGGGGTTTCCCATTGCTATGTTTGATTACCGTAACTCTTTATCGTCTTGGTGTACAAGTCAATCCGGCCGTCGGATGCCAACATCTAGACATATCTAAATATATTGGTGAACAAACAATCATATCCCATGCAAATTCCCAAACGAAGCTACGAACCCCCATATGGTTGTCGGTGGAAGCCCATCCACACATATATATATATATATCATATGTATGATATATATATATATGACATGATCCCCCTTTTCCCCTATGAATTCATCTGTCCAGGCCGCAGCGTAAAGCATCTATGTGCCTCGTGGAAAAATATATACATATTCTATAATGGCAATATATATATATATATCTGGGTAAATTATAATATTTCACTAACCTGAATTAAGGCCATTTGGGGATGATTCCCCTTACTATGATTTCAGTGAGGGAGAACAGTGAGGTCGTTATAATTTACCCAGATAGAATACTATAAATACACCCACTAAGGAACCCCAAAAATGAATAGATTCGGTACTAAACCAAGGCTTCTAGGAGGGTGTTGAGTATGGCAATATATATATATATAATACATACATCCCTGAAACCGAGCTCCCCAACTCATTGATCGATGCCTTGGAACATACCTCCCGTTGCTGCCGGCAGTTCACTGACGCCACGTTCAGGAAGTCCTGTTTTTGGACCGGACCGGGATGGACCGGGACATCCACGAGTAGTCCCAGAGATTTTCTGGGGATTCACATTTCACATGATTTAACCATCAAAAATAAGGGTTTAATATGATTTAATATGGTTTAACATGTTTAATTGGTGATTTGGTGATCTCACATAAGCATCAACTATATAGATCTATATAGGTGTTTTATCAGTGATTACTGGATTTAAGGGTTTGCCAAGCATGAGAACCTTCCCATTTGTGGGGTACCGGTACCTCAATGCAGACCAGTTCCTTGGGATCCAAAAGTCTGATGATGTTACCGGGTTTATAACTCACAATAACTAGGGTTTATGGATGTTTATGGTAGATATATCATGATATATCGAACTAGTTATATACTGGAGGTTAGGAAAAGCAAGTTGGCTGTTGAACACCAACTTATAACTCGGAAAATTGTGTACTATGTTGAGTCTTCACGTCTGCTATCATTTTGGGGATTCCCATGGATCCCCCCAAAAATGCAGTGATTTGTGACACATTTGTTTGATTTATTTTGTAGCATGTTTTCCCGTTCTTGGCTTTTGAAATAGCAGTTCTTATATGGCTAAGCATCATCCACTTCTCATCTTCCAGAGGTCCTTGAAGGTGTCCGCGAATTTCACGTACTCCTCTTTGGCCTTCCAGCCAGTTGATCAACCCCGGTCCACAACTGACTTTCGAGGATGGCAGCCAGATTGACCTCAGAAAAAAATAACTGATGTAATAAATGAGAATATGATATTGTTATATACTGTTATGTACTGTTGATATCTGCTTATCACCTTTTGAACCATGAACAAAAATGACAGAGCATCTTGGAAGCAATGTTAACATAGTGGGATCATTCTATTTGGTAATATCAGAAATATCCCTTGGGATATTTGGGATTCTAATGGGGATCACATATCCCATTAATGTTGGAGGTTAATCCCAGACCTCGCGCGACGCGTCATTGTTCGGTTTGTAGAACCTGAGGCCCACAACGGCCCACAGATTTTGATGTCTGAGACAAAAAAAACGCATTTTGTTTTTGCACAGCTGCACTAAAACTCAGATCCCAGGCTTGAGTTTCATATAGTTTCATTGTTGATGTGTTGATCACCTTTCATCAAAAAAATACGTGCAAACTGCAGACCTTTTAGCCTACAGTCCTTCAAGTAGAGATCGTGCACACGTCCAAGACTTCTGGCAAGACACTGGACGATCCAGGGTTCAATGCGATCATTGATCTGGGAATTGTACCTCAGTGAAATAGGTGTGTCCCCCAAAATCCAATTGTTGTCATTTCATCACAAAAAAAAACATGCAATTTCGGATAATTTTGGATTACCCTCTGGTTATGACTAACATAGCCATGGTATAGATGGCCGATTTATAGATGGTTTACCACCTATCAAAAATGGTGATTTTCCATGGCTATATTAAATAACCAGATGGTAGAAACTATTCTAACTATTCTCAGACTACCACAAGATGTACCGGTTCTTCATGTCGGGTTCCCAGTACACCGGCTTTTCAATCATGAGTCAATCGGTAGCGACAAAACATGGTGCCAAAACTGCTGGATCTTTCCCCTCCAGCCATGAATTGTCCAAACATTGAGGATCAATAACTTTCCATATGCCGTTGCTGCACATGAACATAGAAATCATATGAAATCATGACACATGGGTTTGTTCAGAAATGACATTCGGAAACACGACATTTAACCTATTGCTGACGTTGGAATACTTTCCAAAGTAATGTCATCTATATACCATCTGGTTATGACTAACATAGCCATGGAAAATCCCCATTTTATAGCTAGGTGAACCATCTATTTCTATGGGCCATCTATTCCATGGCTATGTTAGTCATAACCAGAGGGTACCCATTTTTTTTGCATCAATGAAAACCAACATCATGGTTTCCCGGTCCAATTTTTTTTTTGATCGTTGCCAGGATGCAAGTCTTTGTTCATCTCCGTGACATTGGTGTCACCATATATGTCTTCCTGGGAAGTGAACATTGGGATTTAGCATCAAAAATGGTGATAGGTGGCAATTTTTATTGCGTGAAATGATGATTAACCATATCGACCAGTAGATCACTGAGATCTCATCAGATGCTCCTATTATTCTATATATATATGGTGTCAATATCACAAATATTCACACATATTTGCTTGGTTTGCTGTTACAGATAAGTCAATATGTTTCAAGGAGGAGGCTGCACAAAAGTAGGAGGAGGTTTCAGAAGTTGGACAAATGACAAAAGAATTTGGTACTGGAGCAGCAGAAATTATCCAAGCTGAGATTGTTGCAGCAAAAGGTAAGCTACTGAGTTACTGAACGTCAAAATGAAGTTTTTTTTTTAAACCTCAATGACCTCCAAACAAAATACACAGTTTTCAGTTCTGATATAGATTTATGTCGATTTTACCATGCTTTTTTCCACATTGGCCGAGGGATCCCCAGACCCCCGAAAAAGACCCTCCGTTCCGTTCGGGGAACCGGTCCTTCGGACCAGGTTCTCCTTCTTCCTGGAACCTGAGAGGATTCTTTTCCGAAATTCATAGGACAATAATGGGAAATTCACAGAACATCATGGGAAAATCATGGGGCAATGAAAATATGGGACATTTTTGGGAACATTTCTGCGAAAATATAGGAACATACGGGACAATGTGATTTCGGCCGCTGAAAAATTCTCCACACCCCACCATAGGTCGAAAATCCATAAGAACAACCTGGGTTTGTTGAAAATTAGGATACCAGCAACCTGAAATCCACCGGTCAGTCATCATTTTTCCATATTTTTCCATATGTTGTTCCATATTTTTCCATATTTTTCCATATGTTGTTCCATATGTTGTTCCATATTTTTCCATATTTTTCCATATTTTTCCATATTTGTCCTATGAAAATGACCATCCAGTCTGGATACACGCCTTTTTGACCACAAGCCTGGATGCACGCCCTGGGTTTCCCGGCATCATCTGACCACCTCTACGGATAATTCGGACCTCATTTCCACAACTTGGGGGACACCAGAATCCAATCCCCTGATATTACCATAGAATACTATAGATACACCCATTAAGGAACCCCAAAAATGAATAGATCCGGTAGTAAACCAAGGCTTCTAGGAGGGTGTTGAGTATGAGGAGGAAGGAATTGACTAAGTAGATCTCATTCTTTATATATAGGGAAAATTTACTATAAATATGGAATATACATGTGTATAATATATATATATTATCACATATATATATACATAATTATATATACATACACATATAAATGTTTGTTTCAACAATGAAGATCCGTGCAATTCCGGCATCATCATCAGGAAACCCCAAAATGACAGAAAACTTGGTAATCTATCGCTGCCGTAGAATTTGGACTGCTACAAACTGTTCAGCTTGACTGATAATTAAAGGCATCTGCATATCTGCCTTGGAATAGCGTAGAAAATCAAATCCATGCAATGTACAAGCAGGACATTAAAAAAACTATGCTAAAGGTACACAAGCAATGTGAAAAAGGAACATCAGTGCTTTTGCGAAACATCCATCATGAAACATAAACCAAACCAATCCGGCATACAGCATCCGCATATCATATCATAATATATCAGAACACATACCTGTATGATTCAGTTGCATGATCAAACATGTACTATAAAATGCATGCATTGAAAGACATCACACACACACACAGGCAACACCTCAACAATCATTATCATCACGATCACCATGACGATCACCAAGACCATGACCATGACCATGACCGTCATCATTATCATCGCCACCACCACCACCACCACCACCATCATCATCATCATCACCATCATCCTCATCATCATCCTCATCATCATCCTCAATCTCAATTGAGAATAACTATGAATACCTCCAAAACGCAGTACCCTCTGGTAAACTAACATAACTATGGAAAATCAGCATTTTTAATGGGAAAACTCACTATAAATGACCATTTTCAATAGCTATGTTAAATTACCAGAGGGTACCAACTGACCTACAACATCCCACAGCCAACTGACCGCTTCAGTTTCCGACATTGCCATCAGGCTCTCGCCCAAAGAACTGCCGGAACATGGCCTTCGCCTATGATCAGCGACAGGGAAGGGCTGCGAACCATCAATTTGTGCGAATGGGAACCAAATGGATCTCATTTCTTGGAGGGATTCCTTAAATGATTCCATAGAAAAATAGTAGGGAACTTCACTTAATTTTCTATCTTTTTCGAAGTCTTTTGTGGTTACATCCAAGGGATTCCTTGGCCTGCGGATTTCAGTCCAGAAATGACTGCGCGGCGCAAACGTTGCTTTGGTGAAACTATTTTGGTAGGATGTTGTGACCAGAGTCTCAAGACCAGAGTATCACTGTGAAATGACCTGGATATCTGGATCTGGATAGATTATTTGTTATGTATATATATATATACATACATATTATTACTATTACATATTATTACTATTATTACTATTATTACTATTATTACTATTATTATTATTACTATTATTACTATTATTATTACTATTATTATTACTATTATTATTATTACTACTATTATTACTATTATTACTATTATTACTATTATTATTACTATTATTACTATTATTACTATTATTATTATTACTATTATTATTATTACTACTATTATTACTATTATTATATATACATACACACATTATTACTATTATTATTCCCTTCCCATACACCGGACGTACCTCCTATTCGACACTATGGTGAGTCTTCTACGTTTCATGGAATGACCTAAAATCTTCAAGCATTACGAGGAATGTGGGGTGAATAACCCCCAGGTTGGAAGGCACAAACAATCAACATTTGATACCTCGATCCAAATGTCTCTAATCTTGTTGTGTAAATCCACAATGCTGCTGCCCAAATGTCCGTGCTTCATCAGTTGTTTGATTTCTTGATGTTATTTTACTAATTTTTACTATTTAGATGTCACTTCCAAAGAGACATAAATTGGGTGGCTCGCCCGGCTGCCCGGCCTGTTCATTGGACTGATGCCCTTCTTTCAGACCCTCCTCTCCATGCTGGTCATAGACCTGGTTGGTGGTGCAATGTGCCCATCTTGAAAAATGATGGAGTTCGTCATTGGGGTTGGGATGACATCCCATATATGAAATGGAAAATAAAACATGTTTGAAACCACCAAGCAGTTACTGTATATATTCTTAATAGGTACATCATCCACATAGTGAGCCATTTTCCTTAGCTATGTTAGTCCGGAAGATATCCCATTCATGGCTTAAAATATCAAAGTACCAAAGTACCCAATCAACCTTGAATCCAGATATATCCAGATGAACATTTCGCTTAAAACACCATTTTACAATCATTTTACCATGAAACAGTGCCATTCTTGAGGATCTTGAAGGGGCTTCCATGGAGTGAACACAGTCGAAACCTGTGGCGCGTTTCCCCTGGACGGCCGAGAAATCTCGGCGGCACCTTGCGCTTTTCAGCATCAGAGAGAACCTGGCGATGGATATGGATTCCTATGGATTCCTCTTGGGATACATATATACATACGTATATATATATATATTATACCCTCTGGTTATGACTAACATAGCCATGGAAAATGGTTGATTTTCCCAGCTAGAAACCTCCATTTATAAGGGATTCTCCATGGCTATGTTAAATAACCAGATGGTATATTATATATAATGGACATATTATAGTCGCCCAAATGCATTGAAGAGGACCAATTCCTAAATGCAAGTTCTGACGATGACACACATATCATAGATGAATGCCACTCTTCGGGCTTGCCATTGGGCCCGCCATCTGCAGTATTGAGGATTTGCCCATCCAATTTCAGAGGGAACAAAGCACCAAACCATGGTCAATATTCGACCGTTTTCGCCATTTATGGAGTGATGTTGTAAACCCAATGATAAACCCAAAAGTGGGGATGGTTTATCACTGGGTATATACATGGGTATACTACATTCGGAAAAACATGGGTACCTCACATCATCTTATGAATCTTATGGTTGATGCACCTCGTACGCGGTGGAAACCTCGATGAATTTGGTCTGACACTCGTCCTGGCAAATGGGTCACAGACGTAGATGATTTTGCGGGGCTCTGTTCAGTGACTAAACGGTATCACAGTCAAACACATGATTTCGAATAGTTTCTGAACTACTAATCTGCAAGAATATGCAAGAGTCAGAGAATTCTTCTTGCACATCCAGAAGTGTTGGCAGTAAAATGCCAGCTGTCACTCGGTTCTTGCCAGTATCATGCAAACTTTAGCGAGTTCTATACTCCAAAATGGGCCTTTTTGATCAATCTGATTTGCATCCCCCATCTATGTTCCCGCCCGCAAGCGTGGGCGCCCACCTTGTCCCCCTCGCATTTGTCGGGATGGTATTCCAAGGATTTGCTCCGATAGGCTTTTTTAATGGCCCCCTGGCAGGATGATGGATTGGGATCATCATCCCACTGGCTGAAAATAAATCACCAATGATAACATGGGATGTGCAAACATGTTGACACCAGCCAATACTAATAGGAACTTTGTGCTAGAACTCCGCATGGGAAGAGCTGGACACTAGGGATCCACTAGTTTCCAGAGCATCCTAATGATCCATAGCTGGTGTTGTCATGGAAAGGCGGCTTCTCACCCCAAAATAACTGCTCAGAGTGTTTCAAAATATATAGCAGCTGTTGGGGTGACTGAAAAACTGTTGAATCTCTCTCTTTCTCGCAATTCTCTGTACTTTATCATTATTCTTATTCATTTTTCATATATATATAATTATATATATATGTGGTAAACCGGTAAACCCAACAACAAACCATCCCCACATTATCAAAATTTGTCATGTGGGGGACATGTGGGGGACGTTGAAACGAAAGGGGGATATATTTTGGATTTATCCGCTGGTAAACAAACATGGCAATGGAAAACTGAGTGAGATGGTTTTCACATTCGCCATGTTTGATTCCCAGTCTGGCAGTCCTCAAACGCCCGGGCAGGGGACCTGTGCGTCATTACACGAGTCATCCTGAACCCTAACACCTTAAAACCCTAAAATCTTATCTTAAACCATAAGCCCTAAACGCAAAAAAAACATGGAAAAATCAAGAGAACATCTTGACATCATTTGACATCTAAATACCAAACTCTAAAACCCTAATTTGTTTTACCCTTAAAAGCTTGGACACCTAAAAGTGATGTTGGGCGACACAGGGCGTCCGTACAATTACCACACATCGTTTCGCCTGGTTTCGTCCCCGTCTGCCTGGTCGGCATTTCTGGGTACTCCCAACACAGCGTAGTAGTCGGCGCCCCTAGGTCACGCACTGAGGTCATGGGAAAATCATGAAAGGTGGAGGGGATTTATCCCATTAATGGATATTATAAAATATGGGATTTTATGGTCAATGGGATTAAAATATTTTATGACCAATATGATTTATTATCCCACATATTTAATCATTATAAGATATTATGTTTTTCAATGATTAATTCATGTAGTTCATGAATATAATCATGGTTGCTCCCCATACCCCAGACACAAGGGGGGTAAATCAGGTAAATACAAAACTCAAATCACCAATTTGCGCCGCTTGCATCTATCATTTGCCTATTGCAGGTTGGAGCAACCCTAATGAATTCTGGAAAACATGTAGGAAGACATCTGAAATAATTGCTCAACTAATGATGAATAGGTCAAAATGGGGGCGAAAATGACATACACAATTGATCATCTTTAGTCCTGAACCATGCATTTTGGGCCAATAAGTCTGTCCCATGCCCAGAGTGTTTTCACAAGTTCTTGGGAACAAAATCAGTATCACATATTTAGTAATTATCTTTTTGGATATGTCTAAGATCACTTAATCATCGTGAACCCTTCATTTGATATTTATGTTTGTCATTTGATATTGTTTTTCCGAAGTATCCTTCAATCATTGCATTTTTTTTGGACATACCAATTTCAAATAATTTGCCCCTATTTTTGTTGGGCTATATCCTTCCAATGTGTTTTTCCCCACCTGCCAGGTGAGGGTTGTTAGATTTTATGTCAGTTGCCTGCTCCTCTCCTCCTCTCCTCTCCTCCTCCTCCTGCTCAACCGCGACCCTCGCACAGTGTTCTCTGTCGGACCTCAACCACGACCATCCACGCCCAGTGTTCCCTGCCGGACCTCAACCACGACCATCCCCGCCCAATGTTCCCTGCCGGACCTCAACCACGACCATCCACGCCCAGTGTTCCCTGCCGGACCTCAACCGCGAGTATCCACGCCAAGTGTTCCCTGCCGGACCTCATGTAGGAAGATATGGGACAAAGAATGTGCAGAAGAAAGTTAGAAAGAATGTCAGACAAGTATGTTATATATTACTTGCAAACTCGCGCGTGTGTGGTAGAGTGACCGGGGCAATGCCACTTCTTACTTTGCAGGTGGCAAAGTTTGAAGCAATCAGTTTGAACAGATGACAGAGTCACTGGGGTGGACAGAGACATTTCCACTTCTGTACCCTTGGAGCTGTTTGCAAAGACGCTTGAGACAGGCAACATCTTACAGCAAGTTACTACAAATTACTTGAAGTGATCTCATGCTGGATTGATGCTTGAGACAGTCAACATCACACAGGGTTTCTGTTGTGTATCACAGCTATGGTGGCACGGTGGATATGTGACATCGGAACATTTGTTGGAGCATTTGAGCCCTCATCTACTCGATCGCGGGCCAGAGGCAGGATGGACATCATCATAGAAGAATTCAGCAGGAGGAGGTTGTGTGATCAGTAGTGTCTTCTTGCGTGTTTTTGTTTGCTTGGCAGGTGATGGCAGAGGGTGACCAATCTGCGAGTGCTGCGCAGGCGAGGAGTTTGAGTGGAAGTAAGCACATTGGCCAGTGGCTGCTTTCAAAAGTGTTGGATAAGTGATTTGGAAAGCAGCTTGTGGCTCCACAGAAGCCAGAACCGTTGGAAGTGAGTGCAGATTCGACTTGGTTGGAGAGCTTGTTGCAAGAGTTGGAACAAGAAACTCAAGGTGCCTTTCAAGATGCGCACAACCAAGGTTTTTACATCAATGAGTATACAACAAAAGTACACGCTCCAGGTGACAAGCTGATGCAGGGTCTGCAACGCATTGCGCAGAAAATTCATGCGTCTGAAGCTGACGGCAGCGTCGAGAAACTCACGACGCGTCAACGCAACAAGGAGAGAGTCAAGATGGTGTTGAAGAAATTGGTGCACTTGATGAATTCACTGCAGGTCAAAAGTGGCTCGGAGTTGGTGTTTCCCATGTTGTTCGATCATATGTCCTTCGCTACGCATCGCTGCTGGGAGACTAATTTGAAGGTGGCGTATGCCAAAACTCTATCAGCTTGGCAAGACCATTTCAAAGGTAGTTTGAAAGCTTTACACGAAAAGGCTTCAGTGTCCCAAAGCATTGGCTTTTTACTGCCGTCGCTGCAAAGTGGAAGAGCTAAAGAATTACCAGTGGGCTGGCTCATACAACCGAAGCCGCATGATAAAACCCTGTCTGCCAATGCTGCTGCGACCATGGAACAAGTAGAACAAGAAACTGGGGAAGACCATGGCTACATCTCCATCAGTCCGGGCGGGCAACGGTTCACATCGCTGCAACAAGCCTTGCAATATGCGCAAAATGACAAGCTGCGGAATCGCATGGCTGCTGACATGAAGGCCGTTCAGATCGACAGCTTTGATCACAACTCCAACATTCAGGTGCAGTTCACATCCAATCACGAAGACTACATGCACCGTGGAGAGCGTCCCATCATGCAGGCAGGGTCTTGAAAGTAGTTAAGAAGTGTCGTTGTTGTTTGTGGTTTGAGTCTAAACACCTTAAAATAAAATAATAATGTTTTGTTTGTGAATGCATGTGCAGGCACTTCCAGCGTATGTCTACAATATGTGGGTTTATGGTGCGCGGAAGCAATCCAGTCGAGATCCTTTGGGAGACTATGTGATTACCTTCGACTACGATGCAGATTACAAACCATCTGCGTTAGTGAAGACACAGCGTCTCAGTTTAATTCCAAAGATCCCACAGCTGGAAGGTATGCATATTCCATCGCCAGATGTAGATCCGCATAAGATGAGTTTGATCAAGTTGCTACTCTTCAAGCCTTTGGGGCAAAACAATGACATGGATGAAAAAGGCAATCCGCAGGACCCTTACAGGGCCATCTTTCTGGATGTGGAGAAAGTAACCAAAAAGATGAAGCGAGGAGAGCATGAAAATCCATATGATGCCTTTCCAAGAGCATGGAAACACTACTGGCAGCACACTGTTTTGCCCAAAGCTGCGGATGCTGAAAAAAAAAGGTGAAGCACGGATGGAAATGCCTACTTTGTGGGAGTGCTTGGAAGTATTCCAGTTGCAAAAAGAATTGGCTCAAGAGAAATACTTGATTCCATTGGACAAGGATTGCACGAACAAACTGGGTTGCGATGCGAGTGCAAAGTTGCAGAACCGTTTGACTGTCCAAGAGTATGTTTGCTACTTGACAAAAAGAGTGGTCAAGAACTTAGATGCTTACGGACGTGCTAAGGCAGCACCCAAAACCAAGTCGTATGCTTTGGACGCAGATGCAAAAGAAGATCCAGGATTAGTGCGTGAAGGCCACGGGACTGGAGATACTGGCGAATCCTTTGAACCAGCCTTCGAAGATGCTTTGGATCCAGACATCGATGGGGAGGTTCGACTGAAGGCTGGAGATGCACCCTTAAAAGTACATCATCCACTGACTTCATCGCAGCGTTCGCAAGCCATGACCTTTCATCGTCAAAAGCATACCAAGTTTGTGCGCGACATGATTTCTGCGGGCCTTTTGCCCTTGACAGGGGATGAAGAAGCGTTGCATAGAACTGCGGCCTACAAGCGCGCGAGTGGCACTGCAGTGAATCCACGAGCAGAACAACTGAGGTTGAAAGAGAAAGCGCCCATGATCACGCAGCCGCTACTGGATGCTCAGCGCACCGCTATGACAAATGATAGCATGGGCCTCAGCCGCTTGTCGGCGGAACGGGCTGCTACGAGCGACTGCGCAGAGCGCGCAGGAGAGCTGGCTGCAAACAGTGATGTCGCGATTCCAGAAGCAGAATGGCGCACCTTTAGCAAGCCATCTGCAGCGATGGCGCGGAAGGTTGCTGCGTTTGAAAAGTCTGCCGGTGGATTCAAGCTGGCGCCGGAGCAATTGTCTGCTTGCAGATGGTTTGGTGAGGCAATGGATGTAGCTTTACAGGAAGAAGAGAACAAAACACCTTTGCGAAACCGTGCGCAGCACGCATGCCTTTTGATTGGCGCCGGTGGCACTGGCAAGACGACAATCATTTTAGAGCTCATGCTGGATGTTTTTTGTCGCTTTTTTCCAGCCAGACCCGGAGAAGAAGAGCGATACATGATTGCCACCTTCAGCCACGCCCAATCGGATGCCATTTCCAATGATGTCTATCGCGCGCGAACATGTCATACTGCTTGCTCGTATCGTGTAGCCAGTTTGCGCAACAAGCATTTGGCCTTGAAGACAAAAGAGCAAGAGATGAAACAACGCTGGCAGCCTAAAATTTTGGTCATTCAAGATGAAATCAGTTTGGTGCCAGCTGCAGTGGAAAACATGATGCTTTACCGCAGCATGCGCGCCCGTCAAGATGAAGGCCTTGATCCAGCCAGCTATTTCCACCCAGGAGAGCTCATGGGACACATACCAATTTTGCTGATTGCAGGTGATTTTTTGCAGATCAAGCCTGCCAACGAGATCTCCTTAGCTGACAATCTCGAAGAGCTGATCCGCAAAATGCCGCACAGAGTGCAGACAGAACACCATGCTGCCCAGGCGGCATTGATGACCATTGATACAGTGATTCATTTGAAGAAGTCGAAGCGGTTTCTGGATGCTCACCTGCCAGAAATCACAACAGCCATGCGCACGTGCACGCCTGCTGCTCCTTTGTCCGAGGATCACTTGGCTCAGCTGCGCACTCGCAAAATCGAAAATTGCAAGAAAGAACTAACCACGGACTTGTTCAAGCATGGTCACGTCATTGGAATGTATTGGGAGAACATTGCTCGCAGCATGGTGGAACGGGCAAATCGAGATGCGCAAGACCTGGATGTGCCGTTATTTTGTTTGCAAGCTGCTGACCAAAGGCATTCCAGAAAAAATAAAGCCATAGACAAGCAGCTGACACATCAGCTGCTCACTGTTCCAAACCCGCATCGCACTGGCAAATTGCAAGGCATGCTACTGGTGCACGAGAACATGGTTGTGCGACTGGCGGATGTCTTGGCTCCACACCTTGGATTGGTTAAAGACAAACTGGCAGTGGTAGTGAAAGTGGATTTGCACCATGAAGATCAGAAGCGCCTGGACCGTCGGGAACCTGGATTCTGTCATTTTTTTCCGGACTACATGGCCAAAGGTATCTGGGTGAAATTACTTAAAGGAAAGAATTCGCCCATGGAAGATGCTCTGTTGCAGACGTGGGAAGAAAAGTTTCAGAATGTGGCCGATCACACAACTGACGCAAAGACATTGTTCTTTGTGGAATTGGTGCATGCAGAGTTCAAAATTGATTTGAAGCTAGGCGAGGAAACCGAGAAAATTGAAGTGATTCGCTGGCAGTTTCCTCTTTTGCATGGCATGCTGCGCACTGCTTACAGCGCGCAAGGCTTGACTTTGGACGGAGGTGTGCTGGTTGATTTGCGTCGTGGTGGTGGCCTAGAGGATGCCGACTGGTGGCTAGCCATCTATGTCATGCTGACGCGTGCCCGCAAACTGAAGAATCTCATCTTGCTGGGGTTCACGGAGCAAGTGGAGGAGCTTTTACGCAGAGGCCCTCCTACCTACTTGCGAGAACTGACTGACAAGTTGGAAACCAAAGCTGCTTCGACGCTGGAGCGGCTGCAGTCCTGGCCTGTCTATGATGCATTGCAAGCATCCTGACACAGTGCTCTGCCAGTGGGACCTAATCGGTTTTGACTGAAGAGGTCCGGGGGAGGCATAGGCCTGACACGTTGCTCTACCTGTGGGACCTAATCGGTTTTGATTGAAGAGGTCTGGTGGAGGAATAGAGAGTTGCAGCTGCAGCGATCTGGTGAAGTAACACTGGCATGGTTTTGTCTAGTTTACACACGAGCTTGCGAGCTTTTGACTTTGGTTCAGGTGGTCCACTGGCTTGTTTCAGTCATGTTTTTACAAACATGTTTGACAGGCGGTGTGCTGACATGTTTGGGCATGTTTGTTTGTTTGGCTCAGGTGGTCCACTGGCCTGTTTGGTCATGTTTAAGCAAACCTGTTGAGAGCTCTGGAGTTTACTTCACATGGCCCACTGACATGTTTATATCCTGTTTGACAGACTGACATGCACAATGACCTGCCAGGTGAAACAAATGATTGGGATAGTTAGTTGGGCAAAAGTCCCGTGACAAAAGCTTCAGACAAAAGTGGTGTCAACAAGCTGTTTTGAAATGTCATGGTGGGGATCACTCGAAGCAAAGTAATTGTTGACATACACATTACCAAATTTCAATTTTAATAGTTTATTCCACCATTTGTTTGTTGCGATACGTAACATCAAATGAGTTTCCAAACAGAACAACTTATTTGCACATTGAGTAAATTCATAAGCTATATACTACTGTATCTAGTAAATCAGTTAAACATAGTTAAACTATATTAAAATAAGGAAACCCCTCAGTTTTCCATATTTTTCCGGGAGATTCTCTGCCATTTCCCAAGTTTCCACACGTTCACCGGAACCGGGTCTCCCAGGCTTTGCGCCAACATAGGCGACCAAGCTCAGTGCCTGGACCAAACTGGGGAAAACTTGGCGTTCAGTTGGACGTTTAACATGTTTAACTATCAAGAATGGGACTTCAACCACCAAAAATCGGGATTTAAATGGATTTATATACTGCAAGTGGGATTGATAGGGTGATTTATAGCAAATGAGGATTTTCATGGATTTAACATTATTTAACCATATTTAACCAAAAAGAAGGGGTTAAGCACTGATTATAATGGAATTACACTCCAGTGTCCTCAAACATGGCTGATGCTGGCTAGAGAATCCCGGAACTGGCGGATTTTCCAGCAAGCCGTGCTTGATTAGCAGAGGGTAAGTTATAAAGTCTATGTAAATGTCTATGTAAATATGTCTGAGTCTAAGATAGTCTATGTAAATTTACAGCTATACATCATGATACGATGATACATGTATAATGATGTATCATGTATATCATATGCATATGATTGAATATGTGTATATACAATTATATACATATATACAGATATACATATCATTCTGTCCTTGTATCGATTTTCAAATCTGGAACTAGCATCTATGTCCATTCTCTACCGTCCGTTGCCAATTTCTGGTGGTTGAAACCTGGTCTTGTTGAATAAACTCCACATTTCTGCTGGTGTTAAACCACCCAAAAAAAAACCGCTGTCTTCAAAAATTGAGGCAAGACTTCCCCAGCGGCACCACGAGAAGCAAGCGCTCATCGGGAAGCCTTGCGGCCAGTGTGGTGCCAGTGCGGTGCCAGTGCGTTCAATTCATAGCAATATTTTCATGGAGAAAATGACACTTTTAGGCAGGGAAGATGACGTTTTAAGATGTTTTAAGCCCTTGGGCTTGTCCAAAGATGAGAGAGATTTGTCCAAAGATGAGAGAGATGAGAATATCAGAATATCAACTTATTGCTAAATTGTTGGGGGCATTACTATAAAACCATATACTAAACCTGGCCATTGGGGAAAATCGATGTCTTCAACCTGGCGAGATTTTGTTGGTCAAAGATGGTCCTAACATGAATGTCCCCATTTTGGCGGCACTGCTCAACAAGACAGCTGTTGTATGTTGTTTTCAAACGGGACTCCCAAACGGACACAAAAACCAAACTCAATCAGATCTCACAGTTCGGTACATCTCTGTCTTGGTGGCAGGAACCTGAACCACTGATATCCACTGGTGCACCCAGAGATGTCCATGCCTCATTGTCGAGGGAACCGCTTGACGAACGCATGGGGGTGGCGCGAGGCTGGAAAAGCGGCCTGGGATATCTTCGTGGATCAGATTTTTCACAGCTTTCATTGGCGTTTCTCGCTGTGCTGCCTGTGATGATTGTTTGGGAACTAGCTATGCGCTGGCTTGATTGATTGCGTTGGAAACACTTGTGCTTCAACACTTTGTTGCTTTCGGTTTTTTCCCGGAAAAACTGAGGTGTGCTTTGGACGTGGACATTGATTTTATCATATTCCATGAAGGCATCGAATTGTAGGCGACCATCCTCTGGGAATTCCCATGTCCTGGTGCTTCGCCATGTCATGAGCCCCAAAACTCGCAAAACTGCCGGTGGCAGTTCCTTCCCATCGTCCGAAAAGATGGGACACACACAAGTCCGAAAACACGCATGGCAGCTGGACCCATGTGAAATACCCCAAACCTATACAGGACTTAAATATATTGAAATCGTATGAAATCGTTATCTTCTATTCATTTAAGTAAAAAACAAATCCGACATTCTTGCAAACATGGATCCAGCTGATGGCCAGGAGAGAGGCATGCAGCCTCCACGGTGACTCCATGAATTTGTGAGTTCATAAACTGTGACAAACTACTGTAGATCTACTGTAGTAAGCCCCAAAAAGATTCAAAAAAGGCTGTCATCACTATTTGAGCTGGATAATAAACCGTCTGCATCTGTTCTTTTCGTGCGGAGGTTGCTAATTCAGTAGATGATGTAAATGATCCCCTGTAGGGATATTTCATCAACAGGGGCTCACTGCTCATCTCAAATGCGCTGTCGGAAACAGTGTTGGAAGCATAGTGTAATGCGCTGTCAGGGCAAAAGGTCCAGTCGAGAACGTGTTGAACGAGCGCCCTTAGGTGGTGTTTCTGAAAATGAGGTATACACATATATATATTATAATATATATATTATATATTATTATGTATGATATCTCTTGAGAATTGTTATTTCATGATGCTATTTCAGCAATTTTAAGCGGGAATCTGCTGATTTACCAGTGGATTTGGGATTAATTTTCAGACAAACTCAGCTGGTGAGGCATGTTTTTTTCGCAAAATGTCCTTCGTTTACAGTTTGTGCATTACTATGGCTCCTTCTGAACCATGGGTGAAACAATCAATTCGGCAGAGGAGTGCAGACTTTGCTGGGTATTGTTGTTACTGCGTGCATTTCTGTTTCATGAATAGGTTGGCTACAATATATTGGCTACATGACTTCATCCTACAAAGATTGAACATATTTAAACACAGTAGTTCAAGTATTTGCTGTGCGCAGGTTTGTGCATTTACTGTTCGGACAACGCAAACTTGACTGCGCTTCACAGGACTTAGTTCCTTGATGCAACAAACTGTAACTCTGTGCTGTGAATGCTGAAAGTGCAAAGCTAGTTTTGTTGTGAGGTGGGTTGAAACGATCTATCGGGATTTATAGCTACTTTCATCTACTTTATATCCTCTGACAGCCTGATGTCCATCACCATGTTGTGTGCATAAGTATTACCCTTGAGGCAATCAAGTCGATCAAGTGGTTCTTGTTGTAGTCCACTGATTTTGGAATTTGGAATAACTACAAGTACGTTATTTCGAGGCGACCACGAAGTGCTTGACTCGTGGTGAAACACCACTCCCCCTCATGCGAGCCCGCTTATATCGGTCATCTTTCGACCTCAATGACCTTGGTGTTACAAGCATGCCAAGATTCCTGCAACACTGTCTTCATAATGAGCTGGTTTCGGACAGGACCTGTGAACATGCTGTACCTTTGGCTGTCGATCAAATCACTATGTCACTATGGGGTCGCCACGAAAAGCTTCGGTTCCAGGCCCCCCTGCTGTGGCAGCCATGCGAGCAGCACTCCATACGCTGTTCAACGACCTGGCTTGGTGGTTTCAACCTCCTCCCCGGGACAGGGCCGGGATTCCCATGTCATGACGATTAAAATCCCCCATTCTTTGTCACTATAACACACTAGTTTTATCAGCATTTTCCTTAAGATTGCCATAAGTTGGAGGTAGATCCCTTTTCCAGACACACTCAAACAGTTGATACATATCCCATTATATCATTATATCCCTTTGTATACCCACTATACATTGAAATCCCCCTCCGAAATCCGCGGCCAGATAAATCCCTGCTGCCAGGAGACTTCTCCGCGTTGTCGGTACCACCAGAAGTCCAAGCAGTTCTTCCAGGCACTGCCCTCAGCGGACGCTCCAGTGGACGGAGTTTCAGTAGATGAGAAGTGGATGAAGAAACTTTTGTGTATTTAGATGTCTCCACTGATTTTTGTTGGAATATCCATGGAATGTTTTGTTGGTGGATCTTTATAATCTTAGTGGATCCATTGGTGGACTTGATCCATTAGTGGAATATCCATTAGTAGATCTTAGTGGATTAATTAATGGATTATCCATTAGTGGAATATCCATTAGTAGATCTTAATGGATTAATTAATGGATTATCCATTAGTAGATTATCCACTAGTAGATCTTAATTAATGGATTATCCATTAGTACATTATCCATTAGTAGATCTTAATTAATGGATTGTCCATTAACTAATCCTAATGGATCATAGATCCACAGGAACTCATCCACCATGGATTCATCGGTTTTGTTGAGTATCCACTGACGTTTTCATTAATATGAAATGCCTCCCAGGGGTTCCAAGTGAATATATCCACAAGACACGGGTGTATAGGGGGTAATTTAATACGTAGTATTAATATGTATTAGTATGGGGAAGAGATTAGGTCAGTATGTCAGTACATAATTCGGGAACTCATTGTCATTGACAACTCCCAACTGATTTGATGCCACCATTTGTTTTGGACCGCAACCCGACCCACGGCTCGAGCCGGTCGCCTTGTTAAAGGGGTTGCGAAAGGATTTGTGCGCATGGCCTGCAGTTCAAGTGGATCCCCAGTGGATCCCAGTGGTCACCATGGTTTTTTCAATATGTTTATAAATAATACATATTACATACATATTACATACATACTACATACATATTACATACATATTACATACATATTACATACATATTACATACATATTACATATATATATATCAATGGTCTGATGTCTAATGACTTCAATGATTTAAGGGGTACCCCGGGTACCTGCTTGGAAGAAATGACTAGAAATGACTCATATTCCTTTGAGCTTTGATCACATCTTCTTGTGGAGATTGCAGCCCCAGAGAATCGCTTCGTCCAATGTGTTGAAGCTGGATGACAACTTGCTCCAACTAAAGGCCCCAAAATCAAGCTCAAAAAACATGGAACAAGCAGGCCGTGGCTAGAAATTTGCGGTGCGCCAGTGTTGCAATTCTGATTGAGGACTCTATAGAGCAGCACCCACACAATCTGGTGGGAATGGATCCACTCCCCAAACTAGCTGAGAAAATTCAAATCATCATGATATGAACGGGACCAACCATGGGACCAACCATTCTCAACTGAAATGCTGGACCTACAGCTGTTGCTTGATCTGGGTATCATCAAGAGTTCACACTCTCTGATCACCGACCGATGGCTGTTCCGAAGCACAGCCATAGCAAGATTTTTTTTTGGCGGATTCAACCAACATCAAGCAACAGTTGAACTATATAATATTCAATATGGTATTCAGAACTGATGGTTGATGCTGGCAATCCCCCAAAAAAATCCCAATGTTCACCAACATCAACCAACATTAGCCAGGGAATTGATAGGTCATAGTGGTCGACTGTCCGCTGCCATCAAGGCACCTGTTGCCATCTGCCGGACCACCCAGAAGTGCTCATACCTCATCAGCCGGGTCCAGATGACCTGCTGATACTATCAGTCTATCAGTAGAATAACCCTGTCGGGGCCATGGAATGCTGATGGTTGCAACCGGATGATGTGGGGAAAAACCAGGAAGCGCATAAATAAACTCAAGAGATGAATGCTATCTTTGCAAGCCTTTACATGTCTTTACCATGGCACAACATGTTGATGGGCAAGCCATCCTCCCAGCGAAGATCGTCCAACTTCGAAGCCAATTCCCTAGGGGTTTCCTGTAGATTTTCCCTTGGAAAAAACATCTTGAATAAACAACATCTGGGAATCATTCATCTCTAAAGGGTATAATCATTGGTTAGTTTCACAGGCCCCCAATCACATAAAAATTAAGGTTGATGTTTGACAATCAGCTTCAAGTCTGATGTTTTGAGATGTTTTTACCCCTGCTACCGCCTGTGCATGTTCATCATCTCGTTGGTCGTCAAGTTCATCATGACCTGGCAGATGTGGGGGCACCAGTTGGCGTTGGGTGTCCAGGGCAAGGCAATGAGAGGTTATTGTTTGATGTTTTGGTATGTTTGGGGATGGGTCAAATTTCAAAAAATCTCAAACACTTTCATAGCTATGCATAATTATACATAGAGGATTTAGATCCTCACTTATTCATTTCTGGAATCTGCCATCGATCTATACAGTAACTCTTTCCAGGGCTGGACATGGATTGGTTCCTGGCACATATCCTTCTTTTGTCATTGCTGGATAGCCTCGCCTTCGCCCTGGAATGTGGTTGCGGACAAGCCCCGCCATCCATAGGAAAATAAAGACTTGAAAAGATGGATTTGTGGTGCCATCTTTGATTACCAGGAAAGCATAACCTGTTTCAGTAAATCCTAGTAAATCCCAATGTTCATAAGCAAATTCCATTTTCTTCGGTGAATGTTCCCAACATTTCCCAACAAATTGTCCATACCCGTTTCTGCTTTTCCTGGGACATCTTGGAACGCCCACCAAACGAGCTTGATGGAGTGTCAGCATGAAGACCTGCGTGCGGCACGGTCCGCACATCTCCGCACGCCATCCCCAGGGGCTGAGCTCTGAGATTCCGACCCACGGTGCAGTAATACAATGTACCAAGACCTTGGCCCACGAGGACACTGGGCCAAGACTCCACGCGGCGGCCCGAGTTATCGCCTTGTTCTACATGTTTGGAAATCATCTCTACCATGGAGTACATTTGCGTACACATACATTACCAGTGTATCTTTGCATTATTGTATATGATGTATATGTCTACAATTACAGTATGTATTTTGTTATTATGTATATAGCCCATCCACATGCATATGTCGTAGTCCATCCAAATCCTTGTCACCCAAGTTTGACCCAATTTACCCACTAAAAGTCCTTCTGAAAACCATTGGATTCTGATTACCCTATAACTTCTCATGTGAGGCTTTCCAAAAAGCGAACATTGCTGACTTGCAGAATTTCTGTAAGGAAGGTTGGCTAATCCTCAAAAAACTCGTTCACATTGGGGACCCAAAAAACCATGGGTGTTTCCTAGCAAAATGCTCGGCGTGGAGATTCGTTCTCCCCCATTTTGAGCAAACATAGCATTTCCCAAAAGCTTGTCCTTCCCTGATAGCTGGTGAATGCCGCAATTCCCAGTTGGGGTTGTCCAGAAATGGGATGAAATTGGCGCCTCTCAAACCCAAAGATCTCTTGGGGAAATAATATGTTTCACCGCTAAATTCGCTACTGGAACTTTGCGGGGATCCCCCATTTGAGCAGGTGTGGACATGGTTTGCCATCAACTTATCAGATTATCAGCCACTTTTCCCAGCAATGCAAAGCGAAAGAGGTCGAGGACCAGGGCGGTGATGATGATGATGATGATGATGATGATGATCAGGCGGAGGAAGCAAGTCATGCCACCCCAAGCCATGCAAACCCCAACATCAACAGAAACTGCCACTGAGGGACAATGAGCGTCAGCAAGGGATATCCGGTGAGCACACCCCAAATGAATTGTCCAAAGGAGGTGTATGGTACCAAGGTTGTTGCCATCAACCTCAGAATCAGCCAATCAGAAGGGTGTGGAGAGGCGGTCAGAAAAGATTCTGGAAATTGCTACACTAATTCTTTGGGTCGAAGTTTAATCCTTTCATAAATACTCTATGCATACGCACCACAATGCATCTATTATATATATATACATACATACAACGCACAGAATGAACATAGCTACACTGCATATATATATACATACCTGTGCATATGTATATGATTATATGAGTTACTTAATATCATATAATTTTGGATATAGTATGCATGCATGTGAAGATGTCTATTGGCCCGAGAAATCTCCAACTTAACGCCCTCTTTAGCCGGGTCCAACTACTCAAGCAACAAAGCTGTGGCCTGAACCCACTATTCTCACTATGGATTCTTGGCAACGACTGACTCAAGTTTCCTGGACCTTTTGCCTCTTGAAACTTCAACTTGGAATCCTTCAACCATGACAGAATTGCAGATCCGCACCATCCACGAAAGTTCCTGCACTCCCAAAGGCCTTCCAGGCCCCCCCCTTGGAGCCAAACAAACAGAGGCGAATGTGCATCACCTGAGTCAGAAACTCCACAATGGCCAAGCCTCAGTTCAGATGAGTTCAAAAGTCACATATAGTACCCTCTGGTAATTTAACGTAACTATGGAAAATGACCATTTATAGTGGATTTTCCCATGAAAAATGGTGATTTTCCATAGTTATGTTAGTTTACCAGAGGGTAAAATTATTGAGATAGTCTTATGCTGAACATATCATTATCACTCATTGTCATTCGTTCTCACTCAGTCTCATTCATCATCATTCATGATCTATGACACAAAGTCCTGCAGGTATACATACCCCCAGTTATGGCAACCGCTTGTAACCATTGACACATCGACACATTGACACACTGATGCTGAGGTTCCGAACCCACAAACTGGCGATGATTGGCCTTTCCTGAAGTTAGTGGCTGGGAAATGGAGAAGAACACTATTTCTATTGTGACACTTGATTTCTTTACTAAGAACCATTTCATCATTTCACTACCAGCCACTAGCAACTAGCCCAGTATTAACCAAGTGGCGACACCGATCCTTGGGAGGATCCTGGCTCCCAAATCAACCATCCCCAACAGGGCCACAACAGGGCCCCATGAATAGGTGGTATAAATCCTCCCCCAGATGGTATATTCTTGGGAAAAAACACACATCAATGCTTAGAAGTCACCGAAAAACTGGAGATTTTTTTGGTAGGTAAGGAGTGGGATCAAACAAACTGCCTTGTATTTTTTCTAAATCTTGAGTCATCAGTCGGTGCCCGTCATCGGGTGCCCACCAAATTCCCAAAACCTGGTGTCCCTTTCGCCCAGGCTCCGATGGTATTGTTGAGCCAAACACAGTAGTGATCGAACTCCTGGAAGTTGACACGTCCAAATTGGATCAAGGCTTGGTAGTAGTGAACATGATTTTTCACCTTGTCGTTTTACATACATGTCAAAATGATTATTTGAGCACACATATATATATATATACATGAGTATATGTATATATGTGTCATTGTATAGTATTACATGTCTGTATATATGTATATATATATATATACGTGTATATATATATACGTATATATAATTATATATGTACTATGAGCAAATAAAATTTGAAACAGATCAATCTCTATATACATAATGGACAACATAGGAATCACCTCAGTTGTGGCAAAAGAAGCCCAACTTCGACAGACTGAAAGCTGCTGGAAATGGCTGCCATCATACATCTTCCCTCATGAAAGGCACTAAAAAGAATTAACGTCATCAGTTTGTCCATGAAATGAAGCCTACACTGGCCCCTAGAAATCTCCCTGTGAAATATCAACATCTCCCTCCAGTTGCCCAGAGAAGCTCCAGACCGCCGGACAATGGCTCCTCAACACAGGCACCCGTCTGCACACAATATTTCGTACGCAGCCTGGGGCGCAGAGCCAAGACACAGGGCACAGATGGGCACAGGCACTTTGTGGCTACAGTTCTCGCTCCAGTAACTTTAGTATGGTTGAAACATGTTGAAACAAGCCCCATTCAATCTCTGGCAAGTGTTGTCCTCTGCAATAACAGGACCTTTTGATACTTTACTGCAGATTGACAATCAGAGTGCAGGTTGGTGACTTATAGGACCTATCCCTACTTGATATCCCCAGCATTATTGTCTGCACCACGACCAAGAGCCCCACAGCCCCTGATCCGCCCGATCAGCCCGGTACCCTTTTAGCACCCATGTTGTAGTACACAAACGGTTCACGTCAGGAGGGTCGATGTCCTTAGCCGTGGCGGCGGCCGTTGATGGATCAGGTCGCGAATATGAATATGCGTTAATAACGGTTAATGCTAGGCTGCATTTGGGCCCACAAATTTGCTCAGTTTCAGAATTGATACATATTACCATTGAATGGACCATTGACCCATACCCAAAATTCAGTGACTGAGAAAATATTTTGATGATAATACAGTGGCAACATTCACTGATAATACAGTGGTGTATTACCCATACCATTGACCCATACCTAAAATTATTGAAAATCATATTCACTGTTATTTGATGGTAATACAGTGGCATACATTCCCATTGTTGGACAAACTCAGACTCATCGAGGTACACATATCCTCATATCTTGGCTGGTAAAATCCTGATTTTTCTTGGCTTGTATTATCTAATATCAGTATCCCTCTTCATTGAGGTTATATAAATTTGGTTAAATCATGTTAAATCACCATTTTTCCCCACCTGCCAGGTGAGGGTTGTTAGATTTTATGTCAGTTGCCTCCTCCTGCTCCTCCTCCTCCGCCTCCTCCTGCCTCGTCCTCCTCTCCTCCTCCTCCTCGTCCTCCTTGTCATCCTTGTCGTCCTTGTCGTCCTCGTCGTCCTCGTCCTCCTGCTCAATTGCGACTCGCGATCCACAGTGTTCGCTGCCGGACCTCAACCACGACCATCCACGCCCAGTGTTCCCTGCCGGACCTCAACCACGACCATCCACGCCCAATGTTCCCTGCCGGACCTCAACCACGACCATCCTCGCCCAGTGTTCCCTGCCGGACCTCAACCACGACCATCCACGCCCAGTGTTCCCTGCCGGACCTCAACCGCGAGTATCCACGCCAAGTGTTCCCTGCCGGACCTCATGTAGGAAGATATGGGACAAAGAATGTGCAGAAGAAAGTTAGAAAGAATGTCAGAAAGAATGTCAGAAGATATGCCAGAAGATATGCCAGATAGAATGCCAAATAGAATGCCAGATAGAATGCCAGATAGATATGCCAGAAGATATGCCAGATAGATATGCCAGAAGATATGCCAGATAGAATGCCAGATAATATGCCAGAAGATATGCCAGATAGAATGCCAGATAGAATGCCAGAAGATTTGCCAGATAGAATGCCAGAAAATATGCCAGAAGATATGCCAGATAGATATGTCAGAAGATATGCCAGAAGATATGCCAGAAGATATGCCAGAAGATATGTCAGAATATATGCCAGAAGATATGTCAGATAGAATGCCAGAAGATATGCCAGAATATATGCCAGAAGATATGCCAGATAGAATGCCAGAAGATATGCCAGATCCAGAAGATATGAGATAGCCAGAAGATATGCCAGATAGAATGCCAGAAGATTTGCCAGATAGAATGCCAGAAGATATGCCAGAAGATATGCCAGATAGAATGTCAAATAGAATGTCAGAAGATATGTCAGATAGAATGCCAGAAGATTTGCCAGTAAGAAAATGTATAAATGTCATGGTGGGGATCACACGAAGTAAAGTAATTTGTTGGTTCACATCCCTATGGCAGCTGGGCCGCTGCCGCATCCGTGTCCAGTGCCTTCATGAGCTCCTTTTGGACCAGCTAACAAAAGCGGGACTTATTCTGGCAACTATTTTTCCAATGTCCAAAGCTTTCCAAACATCATGCCAAAATGACTGAAACATTGAAAGGTGGTATCGATGACTGCGCTGATTTTCGTTGCAACACCGGTTGGATCACTATATACAAAGTTTGCATGGTATACCGTATACCACGTGAAGTATTGACCCATCCGAACAATGTGAATCGATGTATATACAGCTTTTCTTCATGGCCGACAACGCGCTCCAGACTATCCCCAGTCCTCAACACCAGAGTTTCCCTGGGGTCGGGATGGCACCTAGATCCACGGCGATCGATGTGTCACGATAGGATGATCATCGGATTGCTAGCGCTGACACATGCTGAGGGCCCCGCCTTGCCAGGATCCCCCAAGGCGACGAAGGTGAAAACGGCCAGGGTCACAGGAACGAGCATCTCAAACATGAAGGATGTGGTGGGTGCCACCTGAATCAGCTGGGTGACCTGAAAAACCTGAATAGCTGGTCGCATGGCCCCAGTGCCGTTAAACGACCAACCCAGAGGATGGTGGAAATCAACTGCCATAAATCGACAGCTATTAGCTGATGTAGCAAAGCTTGGTGGACATAAGGACTAAATTGCATCCTGAAACTGGAAGCCTGTCTTGATGGGCCAAATTGAAATGATAACAGTGTCATGCTATCAAACTCTCAAACAGGACCCAAACAAGGTGTGATCTGCGTGAAAGTTTGACCATTAGTTTGATCCATATGTGATTCCAAGCTGCAATTTCGTACTGAGATTGTAGTGACCGATCCACCTTGCCTCGTAGCTTGCTTTGCGAATGTCCATGATGTACTGGAAGACTGCCAGTGACACGCATACCTGGCGAATTTCAACGAAGAAACCACCGGTTTTACCATGACCAACTCACCCAAAAACATGCCAGTCTCGTGCCAACCAAAAGACCGGGAAGATCTTGTGCGCAGCTTGGTCCTGGGCAATCTGTCAGAGGAGTCTCTTCCAATTTAGTGGTTGCTAAATGGCACCAGTTGGATGCAGCAATCTTCAATACGACAACCAACTCATGGCTCAAAACAACAACTTGGATGAACCCCCAAGTAGTGCAGGCTCTTGCTAGAGTGCCTCTACAATGGAAGATCATTAAGCAACTTTTCAATCTGGCCATGGAATACCAACCTCAAACTTACCCCGCTCTCATGAACCTGCTGGCTAGCCTTTGATGCGGGCACTCAGCAACCTACTTCCCGCTCAATTTCTTTCTACTCCTCTCATTGTCGCTTCGAGCCACCTTAACATATAGGAAGTCCATTGGGATAATTTGTCTTATTCTTATCATATACGGAGGTAATACAATAAAACACGTACGCTCTGGTAATTTTACATAGCTATGGAAAATCACCATGTTGAATGTTGAATAGGAAAATCTGGGCCATGTTCTATAGCTATCTTAAATTTTCGGAGGGTTTTCGAAACCATCAGCCAGTCCTTAGTTGCTGTTTGGAAGGTACTCCCAACTCCCAACGTTGGTACCCAGTTTACCGTGCTCCTGCATAAGGCCTTTGAAAAAACCACCTTTCTTTGTGGCCTTGTCATCCGCCTCCATGCGGAGAAAGCAAGTGAGGAGAAAGCAAGTGAGGAAATGCAAATGTTGGTGTGTCCCAATGATCTTTTTGAATGATATACTACAAGTATGTGTTTCGTCCTGATTAGTGTGTACCCCCCTCAAACAATATCTATACCCTCTATAAAGTTGCGTGCCAAAAAACTCCTCCCCAGAAAAAATACGATCCCGCATTTAAGTAAGGATTTCAATTGGCGACAATTGCCGATGAACTTGTGATACTTGTAGTACTTGTAGTGGGTGGGGTTCAGCATGTTGACTGCGTTACCTTTTCAACCTTAAATTTTCCTATTAAACGTGTAATAAAAGAAAGAAAAAGAGAAAGGGAAAGAGAGAAAGAGAAAGAGAAAGAGAAAGAGAAAGAGAAAGAGAAAGATAAAGAGAAAGGGAAAGGGAAAGGGAAAGGGAAAGGGAAAGGGAAAGGGAAAGGGAAAGGGAAAGAGAAAGGGAGAGGGAGAGGAAGAGGATCAGCTCTGGAAAAGTTTGCTGCAATTGTGAACCCTGATGACAAACCTACTAAAGTGAACTGGACCCTCTCATGGCCAGTGCCTTGGAATTTTGTGGAAAATTTGTTCTTGAAAATTAATAAGTTAAGGGTCTAATAAGCGGTCTGATTCTTTTGGGACAGGCTTGGACTTTGAACTTTTCAATTGCTTTTGTAAAAGGTTGTTTTTTCTTCTCTTGGCTCCAGGATCAGCTCGGGAAAAGTTTGCTGCAATTGTGGTGATTGTTGCCGGTGATTGTTGGGCGCTCGCCCAAGGTTGAGATGCTTATAATTGTAAATTGATACAGAACCTTCCTCCTCATGATACCTCCCAGAAGCTGCAGTTTTTGGTCCTGGATCTTCATTTTCGGACCCTTCATTGGGGGTATTTAATATATTATATAGACCGTGCGTATCGCCATTTCGGAATTGATTAAACCATGGCAAACCACCCCATTTTTTGCGGCGCATCATCCCCGTAGTATTCAGAAGAGATGGGAATCATCGCAATTTCACCAGGCAAGTTGCAGGGTCTCCAGCGCACTTTTTCAGCTAAAGACTGTGGACCGCACGTGCGTGTTGCCAACTCGTCCGTCAGCAATTTCTTTTCGATCTCCCGAAATGGGCTTGAAGAAAAAATAACAAAATACACGGGGTTGCTCCCAATACGCCCTGTACAAAGGGGATAGATTGGGTAAACAGGTAAAATGAACTGGAACCTGTGTACATATATATTATAATATATTGTATTATAATATATTATATTATAATATATTATATTAATATATTCTAATATATTATATTATATTATGTTATATTATATTATATTATGTTATATTATATTATAATATATTATATTATATTATATTATATTATATTGTGTTATATTACATCATATTACCTATATATTATATATAGATTATTATATATTATTATATATTATTATATATTATTATATATTATATTATACTATACTGTATTATACTATATCAAATCACATTATATCATATTATATCATATTATCTTGTATCATATTATATTATATGATACTATATTATATGATACTATAATATATTATAACATATTATTTGATATTATATTCATAATGAATAATATATTTATTACAAACAAAATGTGTGTGTATATATACGTATTATATCATTATATCTATTACATAAATTACGTATAATACATATATAAACATTATATATATATATTGTATTATATTATATTATGTTTATTCTTATTAAAATATATTATATAATACGTATATATATAGAGGTATATATACATATTATAGTAGTACAGTCTAGTATAGTATATTATTATATACATACATTATTCATTTATTCACACTTTTTGTCATATTCATCAACACGGCTAAACTATATATGATAGGATTATTTTTGAGCTAGTTCCCCGTTTTAACTCACCCAACTGATCAACAGTGGCGCTTGCCACTCCGTAGCTCAGGGTCTGATCTGCTGATCATGGATGCACACATCACTATCACATCAGTGATCATGTTCATAAAAAATGATGCATATTTAGTTAGAATTTCATGTATTCTACATAATGTCTCTGAGAGATTTAACGTTGATCCTCAGATTTGTGTTGCTGACAGACTCAAAGCATCAATGCGTCAATGCTGATCCATCAGTGGGCAATGGCTTCTACGTTCCTCATTGAGCTGTATTGCTAGTAAGCATCATCAATCCACATGATCAGTCCACAATTGGTATATATGTCATGTGTCCAATTGACCATTTTCGTGGATTCTTGGTAGGCTTCCTTACACAAACTCAACACCTCATTCTTGGTGCCTCAACATGCCTCAACCCTCCTGAGCCAGTATTTGACAACCACTATATATATATATATACTTGGTGGCTCATCCCACTTAGTAAGTGGGTTATAACCCCAGTTATAAGTGGATTAACCCTACTTATCCCATGTAAATCACTGGGGTTATAACCCACTTACGATTCGTGGGATGAGCCACCAAGTATATATATATACATACAACATAACTTATGACTAGTCTAAAAACATCACCCAAAATGGGGTACTGAACCGTGCCAGTTTCTAAAAGTTCAAAATCCAAAAGCTCAAAAAGTCTATGAACATTACAAAACAATACAGCTATGGGGGACGCAACCCCTGTTTCACCACCATTTCATGATATTTGATCCCAAAAAATGGACGGCCCCATTTTGAACCCATTGCCCCCGAAGCCACGCTGGGCATGTCACACTTTTTGTCCTTCCGACTTGGCCGGAGGTGGTGACGGATTTTCCTACTTTGCCACCTATCCCAACAATCAACAATTATGGCAAAAATATGGACCATATATGGACCATTGTGACATCCTGGTTTCAAGTTAGACATCCCAACATTGAAAAATGACGAACCGAACATCAGTCGAGTGGGATCATCATCCCTCAGCTGGTGGATCTCAAGCATTTCGGCCGCGCATGTGCCGAATCCTGGTGGGCAGATGAAACCCATGGAAAGAGCTGGAAAGAGCAGGAAAGAGCTGGAAACTGCTTCCAAAATGCCAGGTGCCGAGCTCAAACCCGTAAGAAATGCATGAACATGTTATGAGTTCTTATCAAGTTGACTGCACTTCGACTCTGAATATGCAATATGTCATTCTTCAGCACAACATAGCATAACACGTCCCAACATGTCCCAACGGGCCTTGCGCATGCTGGCAAGGAAAAAATACACAGGAAAATATAGGAAAATCTAGAAAGGAACTCACATCCAAGAAATAAGTTTTAAACATGATGCTCAGTTCTAAATCTTCACATGAAATCAACTGAAATCCAATAAATCTGGATAAATTTGACCTCTCCCACAGCGTGTGTAATATGGTAAAGGTCGTTAAAGTATGTTAAAGTAGTCGATCTTGACCGTGGATTATCGCCGAGACGCTCACCGGTAAACTCATCGAACGGTGATGTTCAAGGCATCAAAGGCACTACGGCACCTCAGCAGGATGACGAGTCGCGGAAGTCTTCAGCAGGGGCTGTTGGATGATTCTCATGAGTTAGATATGTTTGCTGGTTTTGCCGATTTTGTAGGATGATTTGTTCCTGATTTTGCTGAGAGTTTTGGATAGTTCTGGATAGTTTTGGTGATTACAATGATTACAGGATTATATATATAAGTTTTAGGTTTTGCGACATTTCAGGTTGGTTGGGATTTGCATGCTGAGAAAGAGCATCCAACTCCTGGCCAGGAGTTTCGAAGTTCGGAAAGCTGAGGAAGGTGAATCACATAGGATGTAGATAATCACCCCAAAGGCATCTTGACATGACGGCCAGTGGTCGGTATAACCAAAAATCACACCCGCATCATTGACTGTTGCATAGATGTGAAGATCGAAGCAACATCCCAGACCCACAATTTTGTCCCCTTCAACTCCAAACAGAGAGAATTTTGTCCCCAAATTGATACTTTCGTTTAATTCCACAATCCTAAAAGAGAAAAGGTGATCGCAGTCGAAGCAACCAGTCACCAAACCTATTGGATCCTATCGGTATGCCACCGAACATAGCCATCTCATGTCATCCCCAACCGAACGATCCGCCTAGTCGCTGCGGCGTCAGATCACTTCTCAACCTTGTGCCTGGCTTCTCATCTGCCGGGGACAGAGACTGAATGGCCGCTATCCTGGTCCGTTGATGTCTGGTCTGTCGATGTCTCTTGATAATTCTTGATATTCATGTATGGGGGAAAAAAGGGAATAGAATGGGATTTAACCAACAACAACAACAACAAGAACAAGAACAACAAGAACAAGAACAAGAATAATATTATGAAATATAACCAACATGGGTTTGCTCTTGCTGAATCATAATAATTCACCAACCTCAAAAAACATGGACAAAGGTAGTCCAATTGGCATTTAGATACACTTAGATGCATTTGATATCGTTGCATGGATGGTTCATTATGGATGGTTTCTCATATTGGTGTTGGATGATGCTGGAGGTCGTCAGGGATTTAATGATTAGCATTCCCCTTGTCAATATCCAATAGGGGACAAGAAATAAAAGGAATTGCACCAGGAATTGCCTGACCTTTCCAAGGTTCTATATATAGTTGCAATCTGTTGAAAGCATCGATAGTTCTGATTACTGCCTTAAGATTGCGCCAAGCGACGATCCGAAGATCATGATGAACACTCCATACCTCACAGAACGCTGATCCGTCCTCACTGTCCAAACTTGGAAATAATTTGGCGTAGCATTTGGATTGGAACCAGGAGCAAACACAGCTGGCAGCTGGAAAGTATCTATTGAACTATCAAAAACTTGTTCACACCTGAGATTTCTCAAGTTTGCAAAGCCAATCCCAGCCAAGCCCATGTCCCTTTGGAAGTAAACCCCATGATCCAAGCCGCAGTAGGACCAGCACGTGTATTGTTTTCCGCACCGGGCCAACCTGTGATGGCTAATGGTTTAGAGCCACACTTGGATATCTTGGATTGGCCAATCAACGTAAGTTGTTCGTGATGGGAAACCAAACAGGTGTACATATATACATGCATATACATATAATGTAAACATACATATATAATCAATTAATAATCATTAAACAATCATATATAATAGAGAGAGAGAGAGTAAAAATGAGTAAAGTGGAGGCTACACAACCTGGTTGCAAGCAGCTGCCTTCTTCACTTCCTTTGAAGGGCTTTACATTCCAAGTGATGCCTCTTGGGGAGACCCTTGTAACATCCCTATAAATCCGCAGAACCTCAAGCCAGCTCAGCTGTTTTATCTCCATAAAGTTTATAAAATGTCATAAAATGTCATTTTAAGATATCTTAAGCGGGCTTGGGTCAACATCTCCCTTAGTAATCCCTTCATAATCTTCATACCTGTTAAGGCATCCCAACAGCATTGCACCTTCTTCACCTTGCAGTAGTGGAAGGCCACAATGGGAAAGATCTCAGTGATCCCATGAGCCAAGGATCCAACAGCCGACGTATAAAATCTGAGGATATGCTACTATAAAATCCATATATGATTATGCACTTATAAAATACGTGGATGTTTAGGTACTAATATACTATACCCATATAGATATATATATATATATATAAATACTCCTCAAATATCGATATATTATCATCTGGGGCCAGCACGATGTTGTTGCATATGCCTCGCAAATGGGCTGGGAAGATGCTGGGCAGATGCTGGGCAAATGCTGGGCAGGTGCTGGGCAGATGCTGGCGTACCCACCTTGGATTATCCATGAAACATATCACTCATTTGTCGCATGGTTCAACAAACGAACCCATCAACACAGGCCCATGTGGATGGATATCATAAAGTCACCAACTGTGTTTCAGAATGTGTGGTACGTACTGATTTGGATCTTTCTCAAAAAGTCTCTCGAAATATGTTCTGCATTCCAAGTTGGTGTCCAAAAAACGATCAAATGATGTTGGGGTCCCCTTTGCTTATCCTACACCCGCATTCGTAGTGGCCACAGCAAACATCAGATTTGAAACGTTCGTAAACAAACTACAATAATCATGAACCATATTCAACCGCTGTTAACATATTCAACATGTTTTGTTCCCCCAATCTAAAATATTTGAGACAACCATATCAACCATCTGATTCATCTGACATGTCTGACATCCAGGTCTTCAGTCAGGTCTTGCTCCGCATGCTCCGCCAAGATGCAAAAGAGAGCGGTCACCAGAGCGCTCATGGCAACCTGGGCGGCTGGCCGATCTAGCCGATCAAAGAGAAGCTGCTAAAGCTATGGAAAAACGGAGATCACCCAACTCATGACGTTTTGATCGTTTTGATACTTCCAAAATCTTCTAAACCCTGTTATTTGTGGAAAAAGATGGAGAGGCAGAGGTTTTGAGCTAGTATCACTCCCCCTGGCCTTCGGTCGGAAATACAATTTGATGGACTTTGTTGCAGGTAGGATCTTCCCCATCTTCTAGCCTCATGGCTTTCCTTCAGTGTCTTCAAACATCATCGTGGATTTGCCCAGCCTGAAGAAAACCAACTTATAGTTAAAAAAAACATTCCCTTTCACCAATTCACAAACCCATATATATATACATATTAAGGTATCATATACTATATTGTACACAAATATATATATAATATTTATATAAGTATTATTGCATAATAAACTATATATAACACAATCAAAAACACAATTAGCCAATATCCAAGACCCCAATCCACCCAGCCAAGGTTTACTCCGATGCTGGATTTCTTGCAGAGCAACAAAAGATTCAATCTGCGTAGCCACAACCAGCCGAAAGAAGGCGATGCCAAGTCTCATGACCTGACGCCGCGTCAGCCACTTTCGACCACCAACCCCAGTGAAGCCATAGTAGCTATGGGGAAGCCACAAAAACAACTACTAAAGATACACTTCAACTATCTCAATGGCTTGGTTTTCAGGGACACATAACGGACACCATGGGATTTTCCTACGAAAATCCTGCAGATGTTCCAATTCTGGAACTATGTCTCTGCTCGCCTTCCGCGCCCAGCGCGGCCCTCGTCGGAAGACCCCTGGCCGCCAGTCTTTTTGCAGATATACACTATTTGCAATCATGTGTCATATTGTGATGTCATACGAGTTTATACCCTCTGGCCCATTTATAGATTCATCTTAGATGGTTTACCTAGCTATAAAATGGGTGGATTTTCCATGGCTATGTTAGTCATAACCAGATGGTATTTTGCCGACGTTTGAAATCGTTTGAACGGATCAATCATGGATTTCGCTGAACATACGCGAAGAAACGTACCCATTTTTATCTGCAAAAAATCATCAAGTTGGATCATATCCTCAACAAATATTCCATCAATCTCAAATCTCACAATAAGTTGGTGATATACTGTATCCCATTATAATCATATTATACATGTATATATTTTCATTATGGTATTTCTCTAGTATAATTCCCATTACAATACATATAGCCCCATGTGTGTTGGTTTATAGTAACCCCAAAAAAGATAAGCATATTTACCACTCTTTTAATGGGGGGTTGCTACAATCCCATCATAAGCAAACTGATGGTTCACCGCTTGAATAAGCGCACCTGGAAAGGAGGCTTCCACGGCCAACCTGTGCCAGACGGAGGGCTGGCTGAGACAGACCAAGCACCATTGGGGAATAGGGATATAGATATATTGATATATCACGTTATAATACATGACATTATATACCCAACAACTTCATGAATATATATATATATTTACAGTATATGTTGTGTAAATTATATATGTATATATACGTATAATTATATATATATACGCACATACAGTATACAGTATACTATATGGTGGTCCATATATCGGTGTTAAAGAGGTCCAGAAAAGCTGGAGGCAGTTGAGCAGGCAATGTCTTTCCTTCTTCGCCGGTCCCTATGTCAGCAAGTCTGTGAGCTGTTGTCTAAAAAGTAGATGAAACTGATTCAACTGTCGAACTGTTTGTTTGATGAATCCTTCTTGCCGTGTTGCCAGTCGTCAAGATTTTGCCCAAACTGAGAGGCTGACACAGCACAAGGGATAATGATGGCCTCTGTCATTAACATATTAACAGTCCTCAGCATCCAGTGACACCAGGATTGGCGTGGCTTGAAATACCAGGTCCACTATGGGGATGATAGAAAGGGGTTGCTCCGGGTAGATATGGCAAGCTGCACGATGAGAGCCAAGCACGCGCCAGTCGCCTGCGCCCCGGCTGTGCAATTCGGGTATTTTTGTCAGAACACCTTGAAGTCAAGTCACATAAACTCCGCAGAAAAACACACATATTATTTATCTTGGGATGATCATTTATCCATTTCTTGGATTTGTTTGGTGGTCTTGTAGGTTTTGAGCCACGTTTAAAAGGGTGTGAGCAAACATACAATCTACATGAACAAATCGCGGGGCATTTGAAATTTGGTCTCGGCAGGCAACATCCACATCCCAACTTGAACTTTCAATTTGTGCTATTCTGGCGTCATTGACCAGCTCACACTCACCAGTTACGAGAATTGGAAGGTCCCTAAAGACATTTAAAGACTATTTTCTTGTGATGAGGTGGGACATTACCTTTTGTCACTGGTGCTGGCTTTCCAATTGGCTTGTCCCCGCTGGATTTAACAATTCTGATCACTTCCGTTTCTGCTTTATCACTGCTGACATTGATGCCTTGCCATTCAATAATAATCCCCAATTGAGGTTAATTACACTATATACGCAAATCGTCAAAGTTGCAGAATATAATGTGGGAAACCCCAAACCATAACCCATCCCCATTACTACTAATTACAAATGGATGGTTTATGAATTTATGATGGTTTTAGCACCATCCATCACCATCACCAAATGGTAGGTAATTCAAGGCATCGGGTTTAGCATCTTTCCCTCGGGTAATCAAATGTGGCAATGGGCAATCCATCAGCTTTTCTAGGGCCAGCCACATTTGATTGCTGGAGGAAAGTCCATTCATCTCCTATGATTATCCCGTTATTATAGAAACTACATAAAACCGTACTAAAGTACCCTCTGGTAATTTAACATAGCCATGGAAAATGACTATTTATAGTGGATTTTCCCATTGAAAATGGTGATTTTCCATAGCGATGTTAGTTTACCAGAGGGTACTATGAAAATTCATTAAAATTCGACCATTCTTCTCCCATTCACCACATGTTTTGCCATGACAGCCGCTTCACATCCCAGGCACCGTCAGGCGTCCCGTCTCCCAGGCGCGATTTAAGGCCCACCAGCCCATGGGCCGTGAGTCCCGCATGCTGTCCACCAGATTCTCCGGGGCCTTGGGTTTCCATGGGAAACATGGGGAAACATGGGGAAACATTGGGAAACTGGATCTTGGAATCTTGGAAGTGCCGAAGATATCCGAAGATGTTGGAGAATTGTGTTCACGGCTCCCATCTTCCTTGAGCTACAGAGGGAGACCACCTCCTCGCCATCGTCAAATGATATTGTGGGAAAATAAAGTTTGGGCCCGCCCTACCCGCAAGAATTGGCCTCATTGCCGAAGCCGGCATATCCTCAGTGGAAGGGAACATAAATTTCATCTTGGGGTTTGAAGTGGACACGTTTCCAGCACAAATTGCCACCGTGTTGATTGCTAATTGTCAAGTACTTTGCAGCACATTTCCCTCCACCAAATGGTGATTGGGATGGCTATAAAATGCTTTTGCTCTTTTTGAAATCTCGGCTCAAACATATCTTTCTTCTGCCACTAATGGGTTTCCACTTCCACAACCCAGTACTGGGGATGCCAAAGTTCCAGCCGAACAAAGTGCTGAAACTTGACTCTCGCTATGCCATTTGGCTGCCCCCAGAAATGTGGTTGATATTGGTTAATCATTCTTCATCATTACATGGCTATAATCGGGGGTCCATAAATCAGGGTATCTAGGGCAGTTTCAATCGCCGATCTGCGAATCAACTGCGATCCCACCTGAACTGATTTTCTCGGTCGGCTATCACTGTTGAATGCAGTTTCCAGACAAACCCGAAATAGAAGTCTGAAAACAACATCTCATGCATGATCATGCAATATCATTGAGTTCTCCTCTTACAATCCTTAGATCATCATACAACAAATGTTTGTCATCACTTCGTTAATCTGCAGATCAGGCACCCAGGAACATGATGGGCAGAAACATCACTAAGGCCTTGGTCGACCATAACCCATGTCCAAGGCTCATGGACACTTTAAGGTGAGTTTGTCTGAAAATTTAGGACACAATGAATTTGAATCCATCCCACAATCCCATGATTTATCATCATAATTCATTATATTCCCTATCGAAAAAACGTATCTGGGGGGCCCACAGCCATTTTCAGACGCCCTCGAAATGAAGGAGCAGCACTATGCTGCGTTGGAAACTTGCAAAATGCAAGCCTGAATCTAGCTGTGAAAAACGCATTCGCCTTGCTTCTCAGCATTTCATGGGCAGGTGACAAATCTACAATATACTGTACAAGATACAAGATGATACGCTATATCATGCTATATCTATAGGCATATCTCAACAATAGCCAATACATATACGCATATCCAATACACATATTCAATTATCGACTATAATAGATCTTTGTAAAATTACAAAGAATCATCCTGGAGAGCTGCCGAGATATCCAGCCCTGCCCTTTCAGCGAAGTGGCAATAAAGTATGCCTCAAGTGGCTGCGGCAACGCCAAGCCAAGCATCGGATATTTTGGGCGTCGATTTTGGAGATGAAATTCAATGAATTTCAGCAATTCACCTCTAATTTACCAAAGGCTTGCCCAACACAGTCTTGTGACTCATGACTAGATGTAGAAGGCTACCAAAAACAGCCAGAAGGGAAATATCAGGGTCACGCACGCTATTTTTTGGGTATTGTCACCACCCGTTTTGGTCTATGGATGTCTATGGACAGAACAGCAAAATTCACTAGGGCGGACTTGAGATAGAAAGTTCTGACATGTCCTAACAAAAGCCACGTTAACTCGGTGAATTACCTACGTCATAGGCATACGACCGTGTGCACATCCCCAAAATCACAGGGATTCAACATTTCCCCAATTTTTGGGTACCCCACTGACTTCACCCATTCCGCAATGGCCATTTCAATGACCAAGTTGCAATGATGGCAGCCGGTGCTGTCCTCGGCATGGTGCAAACGGCGATGTCAACCCTTGGGCAGTTTTAAAGGCTCGTGGGGCACCATATCTTAGGAACAAATAGCCTACAAATCAGTACGGTAATCATACAAAGGGATAGAGTATGGACAGTCCGTGCCATTTCTAGGGTTTTCTAATTTACAAATGGTGAACTTCCATGAACTTTCCATATCTGTGTTAGTCTACTGCAGGGTAATTACTGCCTAATTAAAAGGGAACGTTCTAATCGATCAACCAGGCTTTATCAATCGGCAGCTGACATCAGTATCATCAATTAGCCAAAAGCAGTGAATGGTTGAAGAGCAACACGACCAAACTACATCAAATTACCTTGGGTTGGAAGGTCAGAACTTCTGAATCATATTCCCTGAAAGTTGGCAGAACTCCCTGCGTCCAAGATTCTTTTTTGGGTTCTTCATCTGATTTCGAAGGGTCGGCACAGTTACGATCACGGCAAAGTTCCAAAAACCTGAGACCAGGAAGGCTATCAGTCATAGTGGTTGTACCAACTTCTGATTATACATGTTGGTCATTTTTAGTACTAACCATCCAATTGTTTAGGGAGTCTCATGTATTTTTTTTCTCTAAAGTATCACTAATGCAGTGACCGATTTCGTAAACCATCCCCAAATGGTAGCTTTATGGCATTGAGTTTACCACACTATATCCATTGTTTAGTTTCATTATATCCATTCTTGTTGGTTATATACCCATTTTAAACCATCATCAACCGTCATTATTAAGCCCCACTATATAACCATGATTAACCATGATTAACCATGATTAACAATGATTAACCATGATTAACCACTACGAACCGTTGTTGACCACGATTATTAAATATTATTGTGTATATCTATATATATAAGACCTATTAAACATCATTAATCATTATCAACCATTAATACCATTGTCAACGACTATTAACCACCATTTTTTCATCATTTGTTCATAGAGATTCCACAGTTGCAACCAAAGGACCATAGGACCCGACCACGGCCAGCTCCAGAATCATTCCCATCTGCCAGGAATGAGGTGAAATGGTGAGACCCAAAAAGATAGGGGGATTTTATGGGATTTTTTAAAACATATGGGATTTTACAACATTTTATGGGATTTTATAGAGTTTGTTTGGGGGCTTATCATGGATTATATAGTTTTGTTGGCTTTTTGTGGTGGGGATTGCACATGTCATGGAATTTTTCAATACTTGTTGGTTGAGAACGGGATTCCCATAATGGATGATAATCCCCAATATATTGGATAGCATAATCCCCTACCATCACAAACCGACGGGGGTGTCTTGGAGACAGCTGCGTCTGAGTCTATGTTTTCCGACACCTCTCAGACAGCCAACAGTATCAAACTTGTGCAAATAATTGCAAAGATGTGGATTTCAAGTACCCTCTGGTAATTTAACATAGCTATTGAAAATGGCCAGTTATAGTGGATTTTCCCACTAAGAATGGTGATTTTCCATAGTTATGTTAGTTTACCAGAGGGTATGCGTCGTCCAACTGTTGCGTTGTGAACATCCTACTGTTGTTTCGGCATCCTGTCACCTCAGAAGACAAAATGCGAGCAAGGCTCGCTGAAGAGATCGGAAAAACTGGGCAGCACAACATGCTGGCTCCTGCGATTCCGCATCAACATGTCAACTCTAACTCCGAAGAAAGGCTCTGATTTTCAAGAAACTATAGACTCTGATTTGGGTTTATCATGGTTTATCTGGAAAATCACGGGGGATCAAAATTCAGTGGTTTGTCATGGTGTGTTATCATTTTCCTGAATTTACGCATTCATACTGCCATAACTGGGGGCCGATTTCGAAGGTAGCGGGCTCTAAGTCGCTCAGCTAAAACTGTTTTAGATTTCAATCCTGGTGGTGTCTTGGCTCTCCAATAGAAATAAATGCCCAAGGTGGGCACAGAGTTTGGAATCTAACTGTATCATTGTATTTATCTAAAATCTGATATCAAACATGACAACAAACAAAACTGGCATTGCTTTGTTACTTTGTGTATGGACCCAAAAAAAGGTCCCTCTGGCAATTGGAGACAACTATGGAAACTCAACACTATAAAAAGGTAGCTAATCTAGACATGGGGAATCCCATAGAAAACCGTTACATTACCAGAGGGTTTCCCATTAATTAAATCTCATTAAATCCAAAAAAATCCAATTAAATCTCATTAAAATCCCACCAACTCCCATGAAATCCACATTTCTTGACGCTGATTTCGCACCAGTTTTTCTGCACCCCCCCGGGGCGGGCGCCGGCGCTTTCCGGTCGGGCGTTCCGGTCCTGCAAGGCTCCGGTATGGCCTCCTTGGCGCTGATGGAACTGCCGGCTCCAATCCATGCGAAGGCGACCTGGGCCCGCCGGCGGATGCCCTTGGGGATGGTGGCAGCCAGGTGCCTGGTAACTCAAGGGATACCCTCTGGGATTTTCTATGGGATTTTATAGTGATTTAATGCCTATAAAATCCCTATAAAATCCCATAGAAAATCCCATAGAAAATCCCTATAAAATCCCATTAAATCATTATAAAATCCCATAGAAAATCCCCATAAAATCCCCTAGAAAATCCCATAGAAAATCCCATAGAAAATCCCTATAAAATCCCTATAAAATCCCATAGAAAATCCCATAGAAAATCCCTATAAAATCCCTATAAAATCACATAGAAAATCCCATAGAAAATCCCTATAAAATCCGATTTTCTATGGGATTTTCTATGGGATTTTCTAGGGGATTTTATAGGGATTTTCTATGGGATTTTCTATGGGATTTTCTAGGGGATTTTATGGGGATTTTCTATGGGATTTTATATGTGATTTAATGGGATTTTATAGGGATTTTCTATGGGATTTTCTATGGGATTTTCTATGGGATTTTATAGGGATTTTATAGGGATTTTCTATGGGGATTTTCTAGGGGATTTTATGGGGATTTTCTATGGGATTTTATAGGGATTTTCTATGGGATTTTCTATGGGATTTTATAGTGATTTAATGGGATTTTATAGGGGATTTATAGGGATTTTCTATGGGATTTTATAGTGATTTAATGGGGTTTTATAGGGATTTTCTATGGGATTTTCTATGGAATTTTATAGGAATTTTATAGGGATTTTCTATGGGATTTTATAGTGATTTAATGGGATTTTATAGGGATTTTCTATGGGATTTTATAGTGATTTAAAGGGATATTAGAGGGGATTTATAGGGATTTTCTATGGGATTTTATAGTGATTTAATGGGGTTTTATAGGGATTTTCTATGGGATTTTCTATGGGATTTTATAGGGATATGAATGGGATATACCCTCTGGTAAACTATTTAACATAACTATAGAAATTCACCATTTTGAATAGGTAAATCAACTATAAATGGTTGTATTTTCAATAGCTATGTTAAATTACCAGAGGGTACATCTATGGGATATTAATGGGATATGAATGGTTAATAGGTGGATAGAGTTATTATAATAGTATGAAACTATCCCATCTATGGTATCCAATGGTTAATAGAGTCATATAATACTGGGATATTCATGGGATATGAAAGTGACATATAATCAACTTGAGGCCCACATTATAAATATATATATATGGCTAATTATGGCTACAATTGGCTATATGACTTAATAATGCATCATAATCAACAATATGGCTATGGATTTTCATGGGATATTAATGGAGTCAACATAATGGGACATACTGGGATATTATACTTCGATGTTAATGATAATGAACATGATATGAAATTTGAATGTGTCTGAAATGTGGGATATCCCAAAATGTCCATTTCAATAGAGAAAATTGCCATGATAATCCATTGGGATTGGGGTAATCAATGGGTTTTCAGACAAATCCATGACATGGCAAAAACGAATGAGTTCTAACTGTTGCCGACGAATGTCTACACAAAAGCCTATGTGGTGTAGGCAACGCCTACGCAACCTACGCCGTCTCGCCGTCTGGGAGCCTGCAGGGTATCAAATGTCTTGTGGAGTTCCACTTTATCCAGGAAAAATATTGATATTTACCTGGAAATGGGTATCTTTATCTATTTTGCATCCAGGAAAAACGCTACTGAAAAATACTATATATAGATATCCCCCTTTGAATTAGAACCAAATGTCCTGGACCACCATTTCCTAGAGAAAACTCCAAGGGGGATATATAGATTATGTAGTAAGGGTCGTTAAGATATTTCAAAAAATCAACACAATATATCGATTGGTCAAAAAAATCCAGCTGGGTGCGAGTTCCCACCTCAAGCCCGAACCGATTCATCCATAGGACGAAGGGCGAGGCAGTCTTTGACATAGTGGGGACTTGCTTGAAGAAGAAACTATCTTTCTTTCAGGAAATCAGCGTGATATTTGTTGTTGACCACCCCTCCTCATGAACAGTCAGGAAATAGCCTGAAATTGATAAACGCATTGGAGCAACGACTTACACCCCGCAAACCATGTGGTTTTCGAGTTCAATGCTTTGCTCAAATGAGAAAACGCAGAATCACAACTTCTGTGTCTGCAATTGCAGATGGACCAAAATGGGGGCGCATAAAATAGGATTGGTATCTTCTGACCTTGACCCTTCCCCAAACCTTCATGGGACACATCCGTACCCTTCAACCACTGATGTCCAGGTGATTCTCATCCGAGGAGCAGTGAGGATGCAAACAAAAGGCCCAACAAAAGCCACACGTTTCATCAAGGCACCTGTCGGCAAGGCAAAGCCGACATCAAAATTATGGCATTTTCAGACGCAAAACCATGACAATTGGCATAGGATTTTATTGCAATATATTGCTTTTTTCAGAGCTGCAACATCTATAAATTCTGGATCGTTCACAATCCTGGCTGGTTGGTGGTTGAGCCACCCCTCTGAAAAATATTAGTCAATGGGAAGGATGACATCCCATATATGAAACGGAAAGTCATAAAAGTAATGTTCCAAACCACCAACCAGCTGGGTACACTCTATAAAAAACCCTCTGGTAAACAGCCACATACCTATTGAAGCCATGGCCTAGTCGAAATCCATAGGTTGTCCATGGGTTTTCCCCGTGCGCCTGGGTTGCCAAAGACATAGGCCAAGGTCACAGGCAGCAAGATCACCGCCCACCATTTGTGGCCACAAAGATTACAACCAAACCTCCGTGTTTCGCGCTGGAAAAGGTTGCTGAAACATGTTGAAACATGTTGAAACATGTTGAAATGTTGAGAATGGATTGGATAGGATAGGATAGGATTCAGCCCATGAAATTTAGGCCTAAATCGCTTACGAGATGCAACACATGAATACAATGATATACCATCGATCTATACACATTTTTAGACAGAGATGTAGCTATCAGCTGGCTATCCATCAGGAAACCACCACCAAGATCTACCAGCCAAGTGACCAGGACCAGGTAATCGGAAAGAGAAAATTAAAGTTGTGCGTTTCCAAGGCGTAACCAGTACACATCCTCAGATCGACGAGATTCTCGGCTGTTTGTTGGTGAGTTGTGTGAAGATGTGCAGAAGAAAGAGTTCGGACATTGGTTTTTGTGTGGTGGCATGTTGATGCGAACTGTTGAAAAAAACATATTGAAAAAATACATCTCCGGAGCATGTTGATTGACAGCTATGGAACAGCATAGTTTTAATGTGTTATCATCAAATCGACAACCATGTCACACCCATGGCGATTTGCAAGCCATGCAACATTCCCACCAAAGCCAACCTCGATTTTGGAGCTGGGAGGGTTGATCACTCATTGAGAAGCGTCAAAGATCAACTTGATTGAGTATCCCTGTGACGAATCTCTTTTTGTGCAGGAGGGACACTGACAGGTTTCTCCGACAGTGTTGAAGTTTTGATGTGTGATGCTTCAATCAGCCACCCATGGGTGACCATCACTGGTTGGGCTCACCTTATGATCTATTTTCAGGTCACCGACCTCAGGCATTGCGCATACAAACCATCAAAAAAACTACTCTATACTGTAAAATCAAATACCAAGGTTGAAGCAACTTCCCCAAAACATCCGAAAACGGCAATCATAAAGATCAAACCAACAACTTCAGCGACTTCCCCAGGGAGCAAAAGCAAACCAACAATTCCAGCCGGTCTCAATGAGAATCGCATGCAAATGCTGGTGCAAGGAACATGCTCGTCACCGAGGAGATGCGTTTCCCCCAGATTCCAAAGGCGCCTTTGGCAAAGTCGGGGTACCTGTTGCATGGCCGGCAACGTCCGTCCAATGCATCTCAAATCAGCTGCAAAATATAAAACTCAGAAAGTCGAAGAATAACAAGTAATGTATATAGTAATGTGGTAAACCGCCAACATCCCCAAACCACAAACCATCTTCAATCTTACTATGTGTTGAAACCATCCCCAAATGGTCTTGCATGGTTTTCCACGAACAGGCTAATGGGAAATCACCCATCAATCAAATTTCTCATGGGAACAGAATCTAGAAATGGAGGATGTTCCGTTGCCATGTTTGAGGGATGTTTGACTACCAGAGGGTACAAACCAAAGTGAATTGCACAGTTCACTGCGTTGAATGAAGTTCGGATCTGTGCAACATGAATCAGCAATCTATATTAGCAACTTTAATACAATGCCTTGAATGAGAATTGAACAACAGTGTTGACATTTTGTCCACCGCAACCACCAGAATTAAGATGTTTGCTAATCATAACCATCATATTCCCAATATCTCCAAATTATAACCAAGAAAATCATCCCGTTTTCGACAGAAAGTCCTCATTTTTTACAACATTTTTCCAGGTACATCCTGGGAAGATCTCAGTTAGATCCAACATTTCTGTAGCGTTTTTGATGCAGCGCAGGCACGCAAGGATAGAAATTCCTTGCTCCCTCTGCAGTTTCTCCATGGTGGCGGTCACCAGCCTGAGCCGGAGCAGCCGGAGCCAAGCAAGACACACCTGTAGCATGAATATATGTATGTATAATAATATATATATATAATATTAGTATGAGTTTACATATACAGGCGTGTGTATATATATATATGTGAATACATGTGAATACATGTGTGTATATATATATGAATACGTGCATATAATTGTGTATATATATGGCAGTCACGTATGTATATGCATATATATATATGCGGAAACTATGTGTATCTAATGGAAATGGTCCGCTCGCTCACAAAGTACTTGTCGGCGAGTGAACCTGTCTCACACGCTTGCCTGGATTTGAGACGAACGTCGGAGAAGAGTATAAGATTGTATAAGTAATCTCATAAAGTACAACAGTAACAATAAAGCATGATAAAACAGAAAGCCACGTCCAGCTATTTCCAGTGTCAACATTTCGAACCGCGCACGGGCACCTCGTATTCTCGCTCACGATAAGACAACCCATCACAACCTGCACAGCTAGAGCCCTTGGCGGATACGCATCCCATTTGGGAAGTGGTTCGTACAATGACAATAATTCATCAATCTAACTGGCGATATATATATATATATGTGTATATATATATTGTATATATGGTGCCGTGTTCCGTGTTGCTGGCCCCCCCCAGGGAGGGGGTTCCCAGGTTGCCGACCAAAGTTTTTTCCTCGCATATACACAGCCATGTGTATATATATATATATATGTATGTATATATCTATATACTATATACCATATATACCATATATACCATATATACCATATATACCATATATACCATATATACCATATATGCAATATATACCATATATATATAAACCATATATGCCATATATACCATATATACCATATATACTATATATATACAATATAATATAATACATATATATACCATATATATATATACCATGTATATAATATATATATATATACGCCATAAATACCATATATAACATATATATATATACCATATATATATATACACCATAT